TGCAGCTTAAAAAGTGTATCACTGCAGAAATTTGAAAAAACCTGAAACACAAAAGGAACTTATCGGCGCAGTTGATGGCGGCACTGGGACAATAGGAAGTCATGTGGCGAAACTAATTTTGTACACATCTTTATTTCAAACAGAAATCAGAGGTGTCTGCACAAAAACTTTCAGCACAACGGCTTCAGCGATTATTTCCTATTTTGCACGAAAAGGGAGCTTTTATTCACGAACAGCGATCAGATCGAAGCAGACCGATTATGCGAACTTTCAATAAAATAATATGTTTCGTTTTTCATCGCCTCCATCTCATGAAGATGGGTCGGTCCGCCTAGCCAAAAACTGGTTAGGTTAGCCGCATGTCCTTTATTGGTTATTTTGAAATTCCCGTTATCAAGTAACGTGTTCTGCCCCCCCTCCCCTCCCAACCCAACAAGTAGAGCTAATATGTGTGGATATGTCCACGCGAGGGTACCATGTTGAGGGTAACATTTTTTTTCCCAATTTTTCTTTTTGGAAAAGGTAATAATCTATGCAATCAATGTCATTAAAACAAATAAGAAGAATTTAAAAAACAAATGGCGCGTGAACACCTGCTAGTTGTTGGGTGGGGGAGGGGGTTGAAATAGAGAAAAGCTCCGGGACATCCCAATTTGTTTTCGAAGTACATTTATAACACCCCGGAAACCAATGCCACGAACAGAACACGTTACTTGAAAACACTGATTCCACAAAAAAGTGTCGTAAAAAAAATTAAAATGTCGTAAAACAAGAATGCGTACTTTGAATTATGAATTTCTGGCCCAAACAACAAGAATCTGCCTTACATGGCTATTCAGTGGGACTCGATAACAACATCTAGCGGGTACAGTGTTACATCTTGATTTGAATTTATGAAGCGATTCTAGCTAGATTTTTTTCCATGGTGTTTCATATTAATTTCCCTTAAGTTTGGGGGGTATTATTTGAGGGAGGCCATTAATCTCAGGTCAGCCATCACTGGAGGATATACAGTCCTAAATCTCGTCAGTTTGTCATGTTTCAAAAACTATTGTTATTTCAATTACGGGATCTAGTGGTAGAAAATGGTAGCCGAAAAGAAAAAAATTTTCCAACTCCAGGCCCCCACTTCCCTCGAGAACTTTTCTAATTTCTTCGTCTTCGGATAAGAAGAGAGTTTCTTTCTGTTGTCTCTCAACACCTCTACGACAGACAAAAGTGACAAAAGTGGAAACACACAACGATTTTATGACACATGTTATGACACATTTTACAACACAATAAGAGTTTTTTCCTTCCATTCTTGTTGGTTGGACCAGAAATTCATAATTCAACGCACTCATTCTTGTTTTACGGCAAAAATCATTGTTTTCAAGAAACGTGTTCTGGTATGGGTTTCCGGGGTGTTATAAATGTAATTCTTCGAAAACAAATTGAGATGTCTCGGAGCTTTTCTCTAGTCCAACCTGAACCCCCCCCCCCCCCCCCCCCACCCAACAACTACAAGATGTTCACGCGCCATTTTTTTTTAAATTCTTCTTATTTTTTTTTTTTAATGCATGGATTAAACCTAACCAAAAAAAAAAATTTTGGAAAAAAAAAGGTTACCCTCGACCCTCGACATGGAACCCTCGCCCTCGACCTGGAACCCTCGACCCTCGACCCTCGACAAAAAGATAGACTCCCATCGATCCACTAGTAAACTATATGCCTACAACACGTCAATAGGAAATTCAAAATTCAATGTTTCGGAGGCAGTACTCTGTTTTTCTCGACTTTTTAAGAGCTCAAAACATGGTTCGAGTTATCGAGGGTAAAATTATATAGAAATGATCTGGGGGGAAACAAAAATTGCTTTCGTGTTATCGAGGATCCGAGTTACCGAGAGTAAACATGAGAAGACACAAATGGCTTGCACTGTAAGTATCCCGGAGAGCTCCATACAATTCCTTATAATTTTGTTATAAGGAATTGTATGGAGCTTTCGAGGAGACTTTTCTTAATTAGCTTAGGCGCGGCGGATTTTGTCACGTATGATCAGCGCGAGGTGTTTTTCCCGACACCCTTCTGTCAGGAAAATGTCATCATAATTATGAAAGCAAAACAGACACGATCGCGTCGGCAGGCCGAAGCCGGCAAAAATAAAAGGCTTTTCTTCTTCCATTTCAGAGGTCAGTTTTGTTTCGATCTGGTCAAAATCAGGTTTTTAGGTTGTAGGTAATAAAATATTGTCTTATTCTGTTCTCAGGAACCTTTAGAAAACGAGATAATTGATTAGAGAAAGAAGCGTGAAATTTTGCGAAATCGCGAAGCGCAATATATTCAGTTTCTTCCAAAGCCGTCATGATTAAGCAGTGTAATGCCATCACAACTAACAATGAATTTAGTTTGTATCGCAAAAGCTGCGAAAATAGAGATGAAAAAAAAAAATAGATCGGAAAAATTAATAAAATCACCAAGAAACCGTCTCGCGCTAGCTTTGTTAAACAAATCGTTGGTACGGTTTATTTAACCTAACCTGGAAAAGGAGACGTCTGCACGTAGAATACATTTCATCCTACATGTAGTTGTGATTTCCAGAACGGACCTCGGGAGCCTCATTGCCGTAATATCTTCCACACTACAGAAACCAAAGCAGAATCGCCCTGCTCGCGTGCTAACTTTCCGCTCCAATTATGACTACACGGTACCAGTGAAATGTTTCAAAATTTAAAGCGGCCGAAACTTATTTCCATCAGCGCGTAGTTAGTCAGTTAAGCAATAATAATGCACAGCACTGTAAATAACACGGTTCTAGAATATCTGACGGCTTCGCGTTTTGTTCGTCGCTGCATGCGATTTAATCGCTTATAACCTAACAGAAAATGTAAATGTACCTGAAGGAAATACCGTGTATTACCTTACCTCAATTAATGTGTGTAAATTTGTCTTTTGCTATGGTTTTAGACAATACGACTTCTCCTGACTATCAATTTTGCGTCAAAACAAGCGCGATAATGAAATAGACGAAGTGCCATGGCATAGCACTTTATGACAAAGTTTTAACTGGAAAACTTGTTACCATCTGATGTACACCTGTATAGTCTATGTTTGTAAGCTCTGCCTAAGGAATCACTGGATTACACTGCACCCATGGGTGTGCCACCTAAAGTGCAGCCTATGTTTGTTAGCTCTACCTAAAGAATAACTGGGTTACACTGCACCCATGGGTGTGCCACCTAAAGTGCAGCCTATGTTTGTTAGCTCTACCTAAAGAATCACTGGGTTACACTGCACCCATGGGTGTGCCACCTAAAGTGCAGCCTATGTTTGTTAGCTCTACCTAAAGAATCACTGGGTTACACTGCACCCATGGGTGTGCCACCTAAAGTGCAGCCTATGTTTGTTAGCTCTACCTAAAAGGATCACTGGGTTACACTGCACCCATGGGTGTGCCACCTAAAGTGCAGCCTATGTTTGTTAGCTCTACCTAAAGAATCACTGGGTTACACTGCACCCATGGGTGTGCCACCCAAAGTGCAGCCTATGTTTGTTGGCTCTACCTAAAGAATCACTGGGTTACACTGCACCCATGGGTGTGCCACCTAAAGTGCAGCCTATGTTTGTTAGCTCTACCTAAAGAATCACTGGGTTACACTGCACCCACGGGTGTGCCACCTAAAGTGCAGCCTATGTTTGTTGGCTCTACCTAAAGAATCACTGGGTTACACTGCACCCTTGGGTGTGCCACCTAAAGTGCAGCCTACGTTTGATGGCTCTACCTAAAGAATCACTGGGTTACACTGCACCCATGGGTGTGCCACCTAAAGTGCAACCTATGTTTGTTACCTCTACTTAAAAAATCACTGGCTTACACTGTACTCACGGACGTTTGCCTCGCGCTCTCTTCAAAGACAAAAAAGCTATAGTCTGTTTGGCCAAAAATCAAGCTTTGTTTCCCCTAAAAATTGGACACCATATTAGGGCCCCGAAAAGACGTTAAAAGTTCCTCCATAATAGAAGAGTGTTTTGTTAGGGTTAATAAACGTTTGGCTTACATGAGTTTCAATATAAAGGTGCAAAAACTTATCAGCATAATTATAGCACACAAACATTGTCATCAAACTCCTGGCATGTAGCCTGAATAAGCCAAGCAAATATGAATAAAGCATATAACGAGAAATATTCGTCAAATGGTCTCGTTAAGTAAATTATACTTCACTTTGCGACAGAAACTTTATCGTTTGTATCCGTGTTACGCATCGAAAAAGCGAAGAGTCATCGCATGACATTAGGTAACAGAGGTAATACTCACGAGTTTCACGAATTCCAATTCCATGATTTTTCGCCGAGTAACAAATTAAAAACTTCAATTCTACCTTACAGTGGTCGGTTCATTTACCTTACATTTGCCAACACTAATAAACATGAACAAAACGATGAAATCCGGCACTCTTCTTTCAGAAGTAGCAAGCCGCATGAAGTAAAATCCACCGATGTGCGCTGCATTCTCACTACAAATATAAACATTTGTCGTGAAGAAAATACGACGAGGAGGAAAAAATGCCAGATCTTCGCCTCGGCAATGTATTCCAGCTACCAAGCCGGCGTATCTCCAGAAGGTGGACTCGAAGTGGGACAAACCTTGTGATTGTTTTAGGAGCCCTTTGCGCGCAAACTAATTTATTCTGGCGCGAAATGAAGATTAAGAAAATGTATCTGAAATCTAATACACGACAAGAAAATTTTCGCACTTTCGAGGAGCGCGACATATTAAATGGGATTAAGTCGGATTAGCTGCCCGCGGAGAAAACATCCCTGCGTGGGATGGTACTTCCAGTAAAAAGCCTCTGTGTCCTCTCATGATTACAGTAAATGTATGACGGAAACCGGAGGAAATCGATTTTGGTTCGAGTTAGCGCGAGGTTCGAGTTAGCGAGAGTTCGAGTTATCGGGAGTCAACTGTCTAGCGTCTACGAAAAACTGTCAAGAGTTTTTAGCGTCGCAGATTCCCGTTTTGAAGAGAAATAGGGCCACCAACTCCAGTACTTCTAACCATCCATTTCTCAGCAGCAATGAAAACCCTTGTATCTGGTAATTTATTCAAGTTTTTTAGACTTGCCATCACATTTGCACGGGAAGTTTACCACTTGGGAATAAAGATGAAGACAAATATGACAATCGTCTTATTTTTCTCATTATCCCTAAAAGCAAACTGCCCGAAAAATCATAGAAATCGGTTGAATCTTTCATTGTGAAAAAGGCACATCAAAAACATAACTAATCCAATTATAAACAGCAACATATCATAAAAGAATAATAAATAACTATTCTGACTGCCATCATACTTTTTAATTTCAAACAAGATGACTGCGGTGGAAGAGCATATCAAGATTGCGGGGTCTGCATTGAGGTGAGATTTTTATGGGTTAAATAACAATTATTCACCGAAGTGGAGGTTAGCCGTGAAGCGGCGAGATAAACTCACCACTAGCCACCGACAATGAGATGAATAACTGTTTTAGTATATACTAAAACAATGAGATACTGTTGCCACCGATCACAATTTTGGCGCGCAATGACCGAACGGCAGCGGTGATCGCTTTTTCTTGCCGGCCGACAAATAAAACTTTTGAAGGCATTTGTTTAACTCTTGCGGGGAAATTTTGTCAGAAGGAGTTGTGAATTCTTTTTGTATTTATAATCTTTCTCAAAAAAGATTATTAAATTTAGTTTTAAGCTTATTTTTAACATGAACAAGTCAACTAAATAAAGTAACGCAAGAATTAAGCTTAATTTGCATTTGTAAATAAAGAACTTTTTAGTCTACGTTTTCACCGATTTCAACGGTAAATTCAAGTCAAACAGACAAAGCTTTACCTGTTAAAACTTCCAAACCGAACTTCGTCACCTTTTTCGTGTATTTCAAGAACAGCTTGCTTGATTATTTGTGAAATTTCTTTGTTTGTTACGGCAGCAGACCTGGAAGCCATTTTGCTTGCAAAACGCGAGTTTGGCGTCGCTCGCGCGGAGGAACTGGAGGTGGATCAGTGAATAGCAATGGCTATTCACTGATTGAGTAGCCAATCAGAGCGCGCGAGAAACACTATCCACACTGTTTTAGTATATAATAAAAATGTATATATGTGGCGTAACAAAATTAATCTAATCGTTAACTTTTTGAGTTAGCTTTTCTGCTAACATCTCCAAGCTAGCCAATTGAATAAGTCATCCTCTCAACATCTCAGTCCACTCTATTTGTCTGTTACTTCTTCTTCCCTTCTCAATGTTGAGTCCCGCAAAACTTGAACTAATCCAGGCGTGATAGATAGATCACCCTATGTAAGGTAGTCAGAATTCCGGAGTCCGGGAAATTTTTGCTTGTGGAATCCAGAATCCCGGACTTGGAATCCATAATTTCAGCTCAAGGAATCCAGAATTCCGCTAACGATTGGAATCGGGAATCCAAAGCTTGGAATCCAGAATCCAAGACTGCTTTTGTATCGTTTTACATGGGGCGAGATAGATTTCTTTTACGTATCAAATAGTTTATGGTTACTTGTAAGGCTAATACCTTGTTTTATTTCTTCTTAAGGGTAATACAGGTGTTTCTTCATTACGAGACTGCAACAACATCTGTAACGGGACCGCTGAAAATGCCGCATGTGGAGTCTGCCTTATGCCAGGGGATATGAACCCCGCCTTAGATTGTAACAATGACTGTCGCGGAACTGCAACTGAAGATGACTGCGGTGTTTGCACTGGGGGAAGTACCGGTTTAATGGCTAATTACCTAAAGGATGCCTGTGGTAGGCCTCCCGAAGTTTTTTTTAACCAATGTTATTATTATTAAGGCTAGCTTTAGACACTGTAACTTATGATGTTGAAAATTATATATCTCAGAGTGCGCAAGACTCATTCCTCGTCTCCCATTTTCAGAATGAGAATTCCAATATCGTATCCAACATGCATGAAACGTTAGAAAGGAGGAGTGCGGTTATAAAAACCTTTTATTTCTGAGAATTTTAACACCGAGGCGCACTGAAGTTCGTATATCGGGAGGGCACTTCCCAGGTCTAAGATGGGGAACGGTTTTGTGTTGAATTGGGTGTGGATCGTAGAAGACGCAACCTCTGCCTTTATTCTGTCGTGTTTTGAAAAGCCGGCTTTGATTACTTTGAATTCCTGAATGTAACGGTTGGCATTGGGTTCGGCGTACCATGGGACATGCATTAGAGTTTGCTTACTGCAGCATGCGGCAATCAAAATTGGGACAGGCTTTACAGGCTATGCAAAGCAGAACAGGAAATCGCATATTTGAGTCTGAAGTAGAGTACGCAAAACCATGGAAATCATGAAACGTGGAGCATAAAATTATTTAATCATTTTATATGGCCGAAAAGCCATTAAGTTTTCCAACACTGAATAGTCCATTTTCGAGTTCGCTATTACCGCTGAATTGAAGAAGTGAAGACGCATTTTTACAGCCTTAGCCTCCATCTGAAGTAATATATTCACAAATTCCAACGAGAAAAAGACCTGTTTCTTACTCTGTCTATTGTGTATATTCAAATTTCAAACACTTACTGGCCAGAATGTCTGAATATTTTACTTTACGTCGAGGCTAACCCTGTATGAATGTGTCATTAATGTTTGTATTCAGCGGTAATTTTTAATTCGAAACTGGACTATTCGACCACTTGGGCCTTGGTCGGAAAATCAGCAGGGCACTAAAGAATCTCTTCAGGAGTTTAGTAAACTTTATCTCTCTATCAAAAGTCGTTCGCGCTTCCGAATGATATGTGTCGCAGCCACCAGACTGATAGTTTAAAATGAATCAGTGTACTTTTCATAAAATAGTGTAAAAAGGTTCAGTAGGACCCCTGTGGACCGGATCTTGGAGGCATTGGACGGAATATTCCAATAAATTCTCTTTAGCATTGCTTTTTCGTGATTTCATTTGATTTTGCTATCTAAGGAAAATTAGACTGCAAAACAGTCCGTATTTTTGCGTATTCAAGTACGCGCGAGCAGTCAAACAAAATGTCTGGAATGAGGCTGAAAACAGAGAGCGAGACTGGGGAGAGACGCTAAAAATACGGACTGTCCGTTTTTCATACGTTATATTCGTTCGAATTATCCGCTTCTCCCAGCCACGGGCAATTCCCATTGGCTAAATTTCGATGCAAGTTGTCACGAAGCTGTCAAGTAATGTTTTCAACAAGTCATTCGCGTTGTTCCCTACCGTGATGAATTGCTAAAGCTTTCGCTGTAATAAAAATGACGGATGTTGATCGCCTGGATTTGCTCCCAAGAATTGGGATTTGCTTTAAAATCGGAGCAGAGGGAAGCTTTGGAGTTGCTTCTCAGGGGAAAGGATGTTTTCTGTGTTCTACCAATAGGATTTGACAAAAGCCTTATTTATCAGATGTTTGTTCATGCAAAGAGTTCTTCAAGTTCTGTACAACGGCCGACCGTCATTGTTATCTCGCCTCGTGCAAACATGCCGCTTGTTCCAATGAATTGTTTTCTCTGTCAAGTACATTATGCTTTGGAGGAAAACGTTCTGACTGAGCAAATGTGAATTTTGGTCGCTTATTAAATATATTTCATACTGAGAGGTCGTGAGACGCAAAGAGATTTTCTCTGGTCGGCATGATTTGCCCTCTGATGCAAGAGCATATTCTTTTCACAATAGGCACTTTTGTTATTCAATGATATGCAAAAAAGTGGCCGGGTATTCTGAAGTTTAGCTTTGGCCCCTTTAGAAATGTAAAGCTCTTCAATTTAGGTTGTTTTATTTCTCCAAAGTGCCTCCTGGATTTGAATAATTTTAAGCGATTTTCTTTGTGTCCGTGAATGTGACTTTTTCCTGCAATGTTTAGTCACGCTGGGCCCAGCTCGTTAGCGTTTTTGGCAGGATTTTAAATTCTCACAGATATTGATTTGCAGAGCTAAATCACCAAGAAGTGGATTGGAATGAGGGGATTTACCCATTCTTTTCAATCGCAATAATTGTTCATTGCCAGTTGGCGTGTTCAGTTCTTCTCTAATTTGTGAAAGCATCGCGGTGCAGTTTCCCGGGGGCAGTTTCTAACCTTTGATTCGCACGGAGAGCAAACTGCTCTTGTGGAGAAAGATTCTCCTTCCTTGAGGACAACGAAAAGTTCGTTTTTCAGTAGGTCGGCCCACTTTGGTAACGTTTCCCCTTTTCTGGTAGGCGCAACAAACACATTTTCCGAGCTTATCCATCCATTAGTAAAATTGCCAAACTGTGTTTTGAAACAACAGCCGCACATTCTACAATTTGTGCGAAGCCCTCGGCTCTTTCGGCTTTCTCCCTCTTCGAGGAGCAGGCACATGCAGGCTTTGTTGTTTTGATCCTCCACTATATATACTTCATTTCACTATATACACTACATTTCACAGAGAAGCAACGCTAAAAACCGCTTTAGAATTACTGGATCACAGCGTCAAGATTCGAAGTCACACGCGCTATAATAACACGCGAGTGTATCAAATTCACAAAGAGGGCGGAGTTGCGAACAGATTTTTGACAGCTCGACGACATTTTTGAACCCCCTGGTCGGAACGAGAAAAAACGTCCTAAGTCCCTTGCCAGGGGTAGAATTTTTTCAATGAAAAGTAATCTTTGTATAAGTGACGTCATTGGTGCATTTTAATCAATGAATACTGTACATAACTACCTGCTGTTCCCGCGCCTATTTCTTGAATACTTATTGATGTTTTAGGTGTATGCAATGGAACTAATACGACATGCGCGGGATGTGATGGCGTACCAAACAGTGGTAAGGAATTCGATGCATGCCGTGTGTGCGATGGCGATGGCTCAACTTGCACTGACATCATGAAAACTGAACCGAAAACCATCTCGAGCTGCCATCCTAATGTTTTGGTATTTGGTGCTGGTCTTAACACTGGTAATCAGACATTATGTGTGTTATACAACGACACTAGCGGAGAAATGGTCGTCAACACAACAGGTATTACAAACCCTTGACATAGGCTTATCAATGCAGACAATGCGAAAACGACTTGCTTTGTTAAGTAGGTTGATAAGATGAAAACAGAGTGGTCCATGAATTAGAAAAAAAAAAGATAAATCAAGTACTGAGCCTATTTCGTCAGCCGTATTCATTGTGTTCACCTTTGTCAAAGTTGCATAACAATAGAGATAGAGTCACGTTTACGGCAAACGGCAAACGGCAGACTCAAGCTGACAATTTGAGGAGGTAAAAACCGTCTAAAAATTCTTATGGATGAAAATTGCGTGAAACCACTTTTTTTTGTAAAGGTAAAGAACAGTTTAAGACAAGCAAAAGGGAAAACTTGGTCACGTGGCACAAATTCACTTTTAGCAAACCTCCCAAGTGCATCCATAACTCCATGATTGCACAGCTGCAACGTTTACCATTTCTTTTATAACATAATCAAAAGAGAAAAACATTATTTTCCATTTGCCTTCGGTTGAGTCATCGGTACGAGTTCATGTATGCTGCCATCTGCCCGCGCGTAAACAAATTATGTTCTATGTTTTTCAACAACTTGCCATTGAGTTTTTCTTTCGCTGAATCAACCGTTCTCCGTCTTCAGGGAAATTGAAAAACGTTTTTCGTTGTTATTCTGAATGGCATCTGTCTACTTGCTCTTAATATTGAGGGAAAACTATAGCTGAAACTATAAACACCAACTAAAAAGGCTCTAAAAAATAAGCTAAAGCTGTCTCGAATTTGAGCGTGTTTCCGAAAATATTTGCTTGAATTTAGCATCAGCTTGACCAAAAAGTCAATAACACAATGCTAATTAATAAATTTACATTTCAAACAGACTCTCTCTTCTATAAAAAAACACACAAAATGTACCTTAAATCTTCGCAGGCTCGATTTTCCTTCAGCCGATTCTAGCCGCGAGGAAAACAGTGATTAATTCATCCAGGGCAAATTTGTTGCTCGATCTTTTGTCTTTTTTCCTTCAAAACGACAGCTTAGTATTTTCTTCAACTTCCACTTTTCATCTGTGCATTTCATTGGTGTATTTTACCGTCAGGAGAGGAGTTTTTTTGAATTTGCCTAAATTTTACCGCGCTAGCTCAGTTTCTTGGCGTACACCCACGGGCAAATGGTAGTGGCTAACTGACCAATCAGAGCGCGCGATTTACTTTTGTTAGTATGTGTAATCAAAATAATGGTGACTAGTGAAATTAGGGAATAATTTCACGCGCGTTTTGTCCAAATCCTTATAATTTCCCGAGCCTTGGTTACCTATTAATATCATGGGTGACGAATTACGTTAGCAATCTTGGATTTTTGACATGTTTATCCTGGATCGTATCGATCGAGAACTCCACTCTCTCAAATGTTTAGACCTTTTAAAAATTTGGCCTATAAAGTTCGAGATTTTTCAGACTTTTTCGGCAAAAAATACCCGTTAGAGTCCTTCTTGATGTTCTCTTGTGTGTTCAGGTTTTCTAGAGCGTCTTTTTGTGCCCTGACATCTTCATTCACGGCATTAAAAAACTTCGTCACCTATGATATTATGTTATAATACTACCCTGACCACATTCCTATCCTAGAGGGAGAAATGAGAAATGGAAGCAGAAAATTATTTCAGCACATGTCCACAACTGTACTAAAGGGTGAATTTCAAAAACCACATTAGTGTCTGTCGATCAGACAGCATTGAGAAATCTTGCTGTTGCAGCTGTTGCATTTCTTGCAAGAAATATCGCTCAGTTAGCTACAAGACCTTCAGAACGAGCATACACTCTCCCCTTCCCTGAAAAACATAAAAAAACACAAACTAGGAAGAATAAATCTAAATAAAAAATTGATTCGTCAGCCGATTTTCTTAGATAGTAGACCTTCAGAACGGGTATAGATGGTTTTCACAGTGACGTCATCAATAGCGAAAAGTCAAAATAGCGAGGTTTACGAATTCTTATTAACACTAGGTTGAAGATAATCAAAAAGTTAATCCTTGTACAAGTTTCCAGTCCCATAGCATGTTTCATTTCGAAAATACAGCAATTTGAACTTCCGAGTTTTCAGAGTGCGTGACACCAAAATAGGAATGCTGTCTCGTTGAAAAAAAGTCTCTCCTCTTGATTTTCAGCAGTATAACCATTTCAAGTATTAGAAGATATGTTTATGCGTACGTAGGCTAGTTCTCGAGTGAAAAGAAGGAGCTTTTATAAAACAAGTGAACTCCTGATGTTTTTGTTGATTTTCGGCGGCCATATTGGTGCACCAAAACTGTGCACCAATATGGCGTCTCCATACAAAGCTCTACAAAGATGCGTGAAACGTTTCAGCAAATAACTCAGAAACTGTGAGCTAAAAAGACCTGAGACTTGGACAAATTGTTTAAAAATTAGTCTTTTATAACATATCATTTTCTTGGCTTCTTTCACTGGACGGTTTTCAATTTATTTTTTTGTTGCGTGACAGTGAAAACGATCTATACACTCCCTCCTTCTTAGAACAACAAAGCGAAAAAACAAGTTCCAAAAACGAAGAACCGATCCAAATCAATATATACTTAGCCTGTCAGCCAATCATAGATTTGTAAGTAAAATCACCAATCAAATGAATTCTTGCAGTCTACATAAAGTGCATCTAAAAGCTTTATTTTAACCCTTTGGCTCCCAAGATCTGATTATTGTACATTGGTTGAGAGAATTTGGGTTTATATCAATAAGGAATCCTCGAGCTGATACAATTGCCTATTCTCATCATCCTTCTGTTGGACAAAGTATTGATATTATTAAGAGAAATTAATAAGATGCTGATCAAATTACCTCTGGGAGTTAAAAGGTTAAGGTGCGGTTTCAACATGTTACATTAAGGAAGTTTCATTTCTGTTTCAGCAACTTCAAAAAATCTCACGCATGCGCAGTGTGAGTTTCAACCCTGGGTTGATTATATTCCTGGCAGATATAACCTATCTGTCGTAATAACACAGAGTGGTCAAGCAGACGTTAAAACCAACACATCTCTTCAGATTTATTACTACAATTGTACAGATCTCTCGGTAACAGGTGTCGTACCAAATGAAGTTCTTCTGGATGAACTTCCTCGATACGTTACTCTAGAAGGCAGCGGTTTCTTCGACTGGGAAGAGACAGTGTGTTATTTTGGTCCCCAAATGACCACTGATGTGGAATTTGTAGACACGTCGCGCCTTAAGTGTAAGGTAGGTGGACTTGCAGCTATCGGACAGTTTGTTTGTTTGTTTATTCAATTTTGTCGTGGGCGACAAGAAGAACCAGCAATCATTCTCGTCACCAGAGCCTTCGATTGCTATGCATGCACGGAACGTATGTAGCCAGCTTTGTTTGGACTTCCACTAAGAATGAATAAAACGGACTGAATGAACAAACGCAATCTGATGAAGCACGTTTGAACTTTCTATCATTCGTAACCTGATCACCCGTTTTTGACCATCTATCACCCGAAAGTTACACAAAGTTCAGCGTTAGAGCAAAACCGTTTTGAAATTCGATTATTTTAGCTAACACTCCGTAATCTTTGGTTATTATTCGTTCGACTTTGTTGTTTGATCCGATAGGAGTTACTACAAAAAACTACCGATTTATAAGCTCTGAGGTTTTAGAACTCTCTACGATATAACTGTTAATGGTAACATAAATGAACCATTGTTAAATTAATTTAGTGGGTTAACGAAAACAAATAATGAAAATGGAACTGCAGTCTGTTCCATGAAGGTCAAAGATACAACCTTTTGGTCATGATAATAATGATAATCATAACTATAACAAAATTGTCAAATCTGATTGGCTATCAACTGCCCTGATTTCAGCCTTTATTACATCCACTTTGAAATCACTGGCTATCCGTGCAATCTGATTGGCTCTCAGCAGTGTGATTTATTCCTAAATCGCACCATTTTTTGCTCTAAATCGCATCTGTTCCAAATCGCGTCATTCATGTTCTAAATCGCATCATTTCTGTTTTAAATCGCACCATTTTTGTTCTATATCGCATCATTTCTGGTTCGAATACAAAATGAGATGTAAAAGCCTTTTTGTTTCGGCTTTTTAACAAACCGGCTACTCGATCAATAAAATATTAGTACTGACTAAATTCTGCGATTTCAAAATGGCTGTAATAAAGTGGTAATTGAACTTCGTGTCGTGCAATTTTGGTCTCAAATCATACTTGTGATTTCAAATCGAACTCGCGCTGCGCGCTCGTTCTATTTTGAAATCACGCGTGTGATTTCAGACCAAACTGCACTCCACTCAGTTCAATTACCATTATTGGACAGTTTAATAGGACAGTACGCGTCATGCCTAAGTAATTGGACAGTACGCGCCATCACGCGCGCGCTTAAATGGCTTTTTTTTTTCACTGCTAGCAAAACGAAATTTCGAATTTCTTGTGTTTTGATTTAAAAAATAGCCTATTATATCACAAATTTTGTTAAAGTTATGATTAATTGGTAACAGAACTTCGTGTCGTCCAATTCGGTCTGTAATCATACTCGTGATTAAACAAATCGGACTCCCGCTACGCGGTCGTCCGATTTTGTTGATCACTCGTATGATTACAGACCGAATTGAACTCCCCTCTGTCCTGTTACCATTACTAATCATGATCATGATGATGAAACCGGTGTTGAATTGGGGATGTTTAAAGACATCAAGGATAAATAACTAAAGACAAAACGGGGGAGTCAATATCAGTAGCTAGTTGCTTAACAACATTAAGACCGCGACAGATGAAAACTACTCAAAGATGTCTAACAAATTCTGATCCATGGAGTGAATTCTTAAAAATAAAACATTTTCCCCTTAAGATCTCCCCTGTTGATGATTCCACCCAGTTGGAACTCTCACTGTCGATGGATGGTGGACTGAAACAGGTTGGCCATGTCAACTTTACTGTGTACGACAGCGCGCCTAAAGTGACTACAACATTGTTTGGCGATACGGCAGACGAGATTGAGGTTTACTTTGACAAAGAAGTCGAGTTTGCTGTCGAAGAAACCTGCGATAATTTCCTCGAAAGTGAAACAGTTTCTAAGTTAGGACAAGATCCTACTTGCGATGTGCTCACAACGGTAGAGTTGGTGATACGTTTGGGAAATGGTGCTAACATCACGGTTGACGACAGTTTGAAATTTAAGAGCAACATCTTCAAAGCTTTGGGTCAAAGCTTTGGACGATTTCTGAATGGTTCGTTTTTAGTTGGTCCGCCATCGAGTCCACTGATACCTGTGGCTGAGGTGACAGGTAGGCAGTTTTTTATCCGTGAGGTTTTTAAAAAAATTCAAAATATCATCGATTATAGGTGTCTGCAAAATGGCGCCTAACAAAGGGGGAAGGGGTGGATGCTACTTCCCCAAAGATCCTATCAATTTATGTACCGTATTTATTCGAATAAGCGCCCAAACTCGAATTAGCGCCCACCTTGAATTCTCGAATAAGCGCCCATCCTAAAGGCAGAAAAAGTTAATAAGCGCTTAACTTCGAATAAATGCCCACCCCTAAAAAATTAAGTGCACGAGAGTAGTATTTTTTTTTATTTATTCACTGGCTTACAATCTCTAGATTCATTGTCTACGAGAATGTTGGAATTTTTCTTAAAGTTTCAACTCCAAAGTCCATGTGGAAGCAAAGTTTTTTCAGCCGCAATATATCTCGCTCAAACCTCATGGCACGGCTCTGCTCGGCGTTCGCGCTTTGAATGCTCCTTGGACAACGATTCCATTCTCAGACCTTCTTGATCGTGTAACTTTTACAGAAACGTTTTGTTGCAAAATAAGCATACTACACCTGCTGAAAATGGTGAACATTTCAGTAATAAGCGCCCAACCTCGAATAAGCGCCCCCTCTCAGGGTCTAAAAAATTTAATAAGCGCCCAGGGCGGTTAATCGAATAAGTACGGTATTATGATAATTTTTATGATTTTTTTCTGCCGTCGGATGCTTTGACTTTTATCACCATTCCGTAATTGTGACATTTTATCTTTTGTTTGGCTTTGAATGTGGAGAATAGACTTGACTAAGCCTAAAATAAGCTCACACTCACCTGTAACATCCTAGATTTTCCAGGTCAGCCTGAAAGGGTCTTAAAGTTGTCTATTAAGAATTACTCAAATGGTTTTCAACTTTTCTACGGGGAAAAAGCACTTGCTGTTGGTTCTAATGGGTGTGGTCCCGGCTCCCAGCTCTTGTCACACCATTTTAAGCAAGAAACGTGACTGTATCTAAAATATGAGACAAGGAAGAGTATACCCCCCTTTATTTATCTCAGGTCCGTGTTATGATATAAAACAGTAACAGAAGCAGCAAAGTGTTTAATTTAGGTGCAACGGAAAGATACATTACTGCATCTACATCTCACAGTCTGTGTTAACTTTGGGCATAATCTAAGATGAGAAAAGTAAAAATATCATTAACACTTTGCCAGTATCTTCTAACTAAACTGTTCGTGATTTTGATTGTTAACTACCTTTTTGTTGAAGGCCCTGACACGATTTCGTCGTGTGGAAATCTTACTCTTTCTGGTTTCCAGTCCTTTGGAGGTGGTGGTCGCCAACTGAATTTTAATTGGTCCTTGGTATCACCTACTTCAGGCTTTGGTGCAGACGACATCAATAGCATTCTAAATGCCCTTAGTCCAAACGATGATCGCATACACATTCCAGGCACGATATTAACAGCTGACAAGACTTACAAATTTAGACTTGCCGTGGCTAATTTTCTGAATCCGGCGAGCTTCCAAACTGTCACGCATTCAGTGGTAAAGGCTGCTGAACCTGTTCCAGAATTGACGCTGAGTTCATCTACTGATCTTGATCAAACCCCAGCATTAGTCTATGTTTCTGAAGACCTTTACATAAAAGCCCAGGCTGTTGTAAGTGTCTTTAGTTAGTGCGATTTTATATTATTATAATTGTAATTATCATCATTCCTATTACATTACTACACCTTGTCATTAATTGCAATTAGAGCAATTGCAAGTAAACCCGAAAAAACATTTCGGGACTTTAACGGGATTAGAACCCGTGGCCTCTGCGTTAGCGCTGCAGTGCTCTACCATTTGAGCGATGATGACCCATACATTGGGAGCAAGCCAATTTGTTTAGTTGTTAAATTGCAATTACCACTGTGATGATCATATCCTTATTTAAAATCATTCTGTTTTTCTTTTTCTTTTTTGACTGTTTTAATGTTTTTCTGTTCAAAACCTCCTCATCATTGTCCATTTTGCTATTTTCCGCCGATAGCTTTCTTTTTCCTTCTTCTTTGGTGTTTCCATCTTTAACTTATTTTTCTTTTACCTCTCCTAACTTGTGAGGTGATCCTTCATGCTTCTAAAAAGCCCACTGTTTTTTTTTTTTTCATGAGCCCATCTAGGATTCACATTTTCTGTGCTTATTTGCAGTAATTGTTTCCGTCTTCATTTCACATATTTAAATGACAGGGACCCCGGGCCCAGGGTGGGGAGGAGGTGCTCCGGATTTAAAGTGACCGGGATGATCGAAGGATTTTTGGGGTTTGAAATTTTTGATTCCAGGATTTTTGGGGGGGAAGGAATATTTGGCAAGTATTTTTTCGGGTAATATGATTTAAGTAGGGTTTTGGGGATGTTCAAAACAATCTGAAGATTCGTGATTGTGCCCTCGTATCCGGCCGCGAACACAAACATTCAATTTCGAATTAATTTTTCGTGTTATATCATTTAATGCTTTATGGAAAAATTTGACACGAAAAAATCGTAATGGGATGTTTTTAGGGGTTAATTTTTTGATCCAGGAATTTTTGGGGTTTTAGTTGAAAGGCCTGGGGATTCTTTTGGGATTTGATTTTTGTACCCCCATTCGATCATCCCCGCCACTTAAAATCCGAAGTGTTCCCCCTGGGACCCTGGGGGTACTCAATAAAGTTTCATCGGCGTTAATGTATTCCACTGCAAATTAACGAGATTCACTTCAAAAAAGGGAATTAATTTGGTGCACCCTTCACTACTGAGACCCAATCCCCTAACCTTTTATTACCATTTTTGACGGAAATGGTACACCTGTCACATGTCTAGTTTAAAACTTTGCATCCATTTGAAATGCTGTAAACATGAATAACTCACAAAACTAGAAACAGATATAAAGTCATTCTGTGGCCCTTTTAGGTCAATTTACAGACCAAAATAACTGACATCCCAACCATCTCATATACTTCAACTAGTAAAATCTCTACCCATTCATACCTGAAGCCAGAAAAGGTATCCCTTTCGGGCGGAGCCTCACCGTATAGGCCATTATTTTTTCATCTTATAAAATTACAAAGTTTTTTTAAATGAACTTCTCGTAAACGGAGAGCTCTACTCGAGGCCACAAAAACCCTTTTTAACTGCCCACTTGAAAAAATAATTTCTTTTTTAATTCAACAATTTCTGTAATTCATCCTTCCCTTCACAGGTTGCTCCTTGTGCAAACGACACTAAAATCAACTTCTTGTGGACTGTAACATGCTCTGATGCAACCTCACAACGAAATGTGGAGGAGAGCTCCTCCTTTCAGTTCACTAAAGAAAAGGCCACTGTCAGCATAACTAAAGGCGTATTGACTGCTGACGTCACTTGCACTTTTAACTTGACTGGAAGTATGAACTACAACCCGAGTATCAAGAGTTCAATCGCCGTGGACATCAAAGCACTGCCCACTCCTCTTGAGACAGCTATAAGTGGAGGTAGGGTAAAACTTAAAAGAGATTTGATTGAAGAAAGCCTACCAAGCTAGAAAAGGTGTTCATCCCAATCAAAATGAATGTTTAAAAGCAGATAGGCTCGCCAATATACTTCACACTAAACCGTCCAATAAGATGCGAATGATATGAAGTGAATATTTCTGAATACTTCAAGATAACCAATAAAACAGATTGCTTACAACACCAATATCACTGACTCCATACTACCGTGAAATTGTGTTGGTAGTATAAAGAGCTTAAGATGTCACGAAGGCGACCAAACAACTCTGCATGTCCATCACACTGTTTCTTCCCCGTGCGAGTACGACTTGACTTTCCCAAATTTCATGTTTACGCTTACCTGATGCCTTAATATAAGTGGTACCTCCAGTACAAGTGAGATAACCGTTAAACTGAAGGTATTTTAAACCCATCGGTTACCTAAAAGTGGTTTTACGTATCTGCAGTTTAACCGGAAAACATCACTTGCACGTGAGACATCCTTGAAGGTATCCGATTACCTGAATGGACGACTACTTTAATTTTTTATGTCCTCTTAAGCTTGGATACGGTCCTTGAAAATGCGACCCTAACAGAAACCGATGGCATTTGAAAAAAAAAAGTAAAAATAGTCACGCTGTAGTGTTCAAAAAAAGCACAGATTCACTTTTTCCTGGTATCTTAATGCCCAGTATAGCCAGCAGTTGAGGCAGACGGAAAGTGAAACATACTGCACTGAGCAATGTTTGTTACAACCAGAATTCACCAGCCTGTCGGGGAGAATAAGAAAAGTATATAGGAATGGGAGAACGGGGGAAGAGGGGTGTGGAGGAGGGAGAGGAAAAGGCAGGAGTTGAGAGTTCTAAAAGGCTGGGAAGCGGGAGAATAGTGGGAAATTATGCAACACTACTTAATACTTCGTAATCGAAGAGGGCTATGGAGAGGAAGGCAAGACAAAAAGAGGCGAAAGCCGGGAATGTAGGGACCAATTTCTCAGTTGAGTGCGTTTTCCCGACACGATTCATCTTTATACTGTCATGGATTATCATGTGTCGACGATGCAAATTCTCTAACCGGCTTAAAGTGGGAGCCTCGTGTAAACGACCACCTCTGGTAAACTGACGGTTTTAGATTTTGCCCTATTCTAAGCGATCACCTGATACAAATCTTTGATCTCCTTGTTGTATGAACTACAAAGTTTGGATTTTCCTGTATTGTAACCTAAAAATGTGCATGCAAAACATTCTCTCCAAAAATTAGGTACGTCTAAAAGACCTCCTGTAGTTTGACTCTTGCATATAACGACCACCTGCAGAAGGCGACTGAAGTATAAACTGAAGTATAAACTCGGATTTTGGATGGTCGCTTACGGGAGGTTTGACTGTATTTCAAACTATAAAGAAAACTTCTTTTCATGACATTTTAAGGTGATCGACAGATTGGCCGTAGCAGCGGGACAATCCAATTTGATGTTCTGACTATTGACGCAGATGGATCAAGTCTGAGTTTAACGTGCAACTGGCGGTGTGCTGTTCAAGGTGGCGGAATTTGCTACTCGCAAATAAACATACGAAACCTGACATTTTCAGGCCTTTCTGGATGTAGAATTCCCGTGCAGAGCAATCATTTTAGTGCGGGAAAAACCTATACCATCAGGTTGGTCTTAGCTAGAAAAAAAAAACAAGCTATTAATTATAGATGATTCTTCAACTCATAAGTAATGCATAAAGAGAAACTGCAGTTCGATAGCAGATAAAATTATCATAACAAATTTCTAACTTTTAATTTGAGATACTATATCGAAGTCGGTTTAAACATATGAAACGTTTGGCTACACCTAGTTTTTTAAACCAGTTGCTGGTGTCTGGATATCAGATGTTAGTAAAATCCAACTAGTGGTCTATTATCAATACTGCGCTCTGATTGGTTGAGCTACTACTAGGCTATATGTTATAGCCCGCTAGTAGCGAAAAGAGCCGGCTTTGAAAACCAAAACAGTGGCGGCTGAATCGCGTTTTGCCAGCTAAAGTTGTTTTATCTCGATAGTTTTGACCAACTAGTTGGATTTTACTAAAACAATCATTCCTCTCTCCCTCATGGCCCTCTGAGTCAAGAGCTTATGAGGCCGAAGGCCCAATGGGCTATTGACTCAGAGCCAATTCGTGCTCGAGGAATGATTGTTTAAAATATAGCGTCTCGTTTTGACATATGAGAGGACTACGAACCGAACATTTTTAGTAGGTTTTTTGTAGTAAGGGGAACATTTTACATTGATTTTACTGTTACGTAGTAACAAACAACAAATGAAACAGTATGAAAGTACAGTGAAAACTGTATTAGGCGGACACCCTAGGGGAATGTTGTAGTGTCCAACTACGTTATCTATTGAATAGAGACGTATCCAGAGGATCATCCACCTATCAAACAACTTGGGCCTCAACTTCTTTCCTTCCCTTTAGTGTGGATGTATCCAAGGGCTCTCGTACTGCCTCAGCATCCATATCGCTGACCGTGGTGGAAGGAAATCCTCCGCTTGTCTGGATGGGATCAGGAGCTCCAACTATCAAAGTTTCAGAAACCCAAAAAGTTGTTCTCAACGGATTTTACAACACTAACGTTCAGCCAACCAAAGTGGAATGGAGCTGCAAAAGACAGCAAGGTTGGTAGGCATCTTCAACTTAAATTACTTTCGATATAGTTGAAAAGTAATACGCGTCATGTCAATTTTATTGCTCCTACTTTTACAGTGACGTAAAAGAAATTCTTCATCATAGGCAAACAAGTTATTGCCAGTTTTTAACTAAAATACTAAAAGTAAATGCAATTAATTTTTGAAAGAATATAAAGATGCAATTACAGTCGAAGCTCTTCTTGCGACAACTCTCGTAAGCGACCAGCTCTAGTTACGACAGCTTTTGTGACACCCCATTTTAAGTGTGACTTAACTGCTTTTTAATGAAAAGCTCTCGTAAGCGACCGCGACCGCGACCACTTTTGGGATTACCCAACTGGACTTTTCCTCTTTTTAAGCTCTCGTAAGCGACCACTCGGAGTCATATTCATATAAATCAACACATAAAAATAGGTTAGCCCTGTCTATATCAGATACAAATTCAAAGAGAACAGACGGCAAATTCTTGTTGCTCGAAATATCTAAACATTAACTAAATATTGATTTAATTTAATCTCATTTAATTTCTTTTTTTTTTCTCTATGAATTATTAATAAGTTTTTGAAGCTGTCGTAAGCGACCACCCTCTATTGTTTTACCATGCAGTCGCTTACGAGAGCTCATTCTCGTAAGCGACCAGCTCTAGTTAGGACCACATTTTCGAATTCCCGAGGTGGTCGCTTACGATAGCTCAGGGTTGTTTTTACCCTACTTCCCCTCCCTGCTTCTCTTATTCTTCTTCTTTATCGCTCCATTGCTGTGTCGGAAATTTGAAACACACATTTATAACCTCTCTAGTCGAACAAATACCAAACTGAATAACCTTGCTTTATTTGTCTTTCCCCTAGGCTTTGCTTATGTAGATTTGAGTGGCTTTACGTTTTTCCAAGAGTACCTTGCTGGCAAAGAATCATACGCTTTGCTGATAATACCCGGGGGTGTTCTTAAAAAGGGGTCAAAGTATAAATTTCAGTTGACAGTAAATGATGGCAGCCAAAATGGTACAGCATCTATGGAGGTGGAAGTCAGAAAAGGCCCCGCGGCCGGATCGTTGACTGTTGATAAACCTAATGTGGCAGCCCTGTTTGAGGAAATTACGATATCAGGTAATAAAATATTTTTAAAAAATCTGGACTGGTCATTATATAATATGTATAAGGTGGAAGAAAAAATAGAGAGAGGCAAGAAATGGGCCGACCTTTTTTTAGCATCTGCTAGACGTCTTGATTATTTGTGTTTGTGTATAAAGGGTGACTTCACAAAACTGAAAAACATCCAGGATTTGAATGGTGAAGATAAGAGGGGCATGAATCTAGTCGAATGCAATGATAATCTTAACCTATCTGGCTACTTGACAGTATACATATATATAAACAAACATACTTTATTCAAGGTATCATAAAAATAAAACACACAAATACCCTGAAAAGGAAGTTGAAGAGGTGGACCCTATATGAACTAACGTCCTAAAAATAAAAAGTAAAAGATCAAGACATTGTCTAAAAGGAACAAAAATTCACATAGAAAAAGAATGAAATTATGAAATACACATACATGATTCAAGAGTAGCTTTAAAACGTCTTAAATTTCCAGCCTCCACAACGTAGCGGGGCAAATTGTTCCATTCGCGCACGATTAAAACCATTCCATCCCTTGGGTAAAGAATGATTTTTGCTGGAATAGATATACACCCTAAAAGTGTTAGTATCATTTTAACAACCTGTAAGGTTAATTTCAATTTTCCTTTCTTTTGATTCAGCTCCCCGATGGACAGTTGAAGCAGACGCTAAACCTCTCCGGTACTCTTTCGGAGAGCTAGTAGATAACGTTTGTGAAGTTTGGGAACCTCCGTCGGATACACCCGAATGGACGGGAGTGCTGCCAGCTGGTAATGATCCTAATAATATCCTTACCCTGTGCTTGATCGTCGAGGATAAGTTTGATTCATTTACCGTGAAAACGATCAACATCAGGTCGAATCCACCGAATGCGGTTGCTCTGTCTTCGGATGCTCTTGATGGCTTATTCCAAAATGATGTCCAGGGCCAGCTTCAAAGCGGAAATGCAGATAAGGCATTGAGTTTAGTAATAATCATTTCAGCCACTGTGCAAGACTCTAATGAGACTACAGGTGGGTCACGATAAAATATTTTTGACCCCTGAATATCTATTAAAATATTTGGGCCTTTGCAATAAGAGCCATTTTTTTAAAGAATACGAAAATGACCTTACGAACAAAACGAGTCACTATAACGCTAAAAAAAGGACGGAGAGCTACACAACCCAAATGGAAAGACTCGCTGTGTACGCATTAATCTGACACAGCCGTCTGAGATCTAGAAAGTATGTCTTGTTAGCTCCTAGGGCCACGCAAATGTTCGATACTGCTTTACCTAGAGCTTATGAAAGGCCCAGACAATGTTAGCTTCCCTTGACATTGAACTTTCCATAAATTCTTTTTACCCCAAGGCATTTAGCTCGCGTACCTTTAATTTACAAAAACTATCACCAAGCGGTTGTATTCGGAGGGACCTATTCTAGGGAGGAAAATTTCTTTGTAAAATACATTCAATTTATAATTGGAGGAAGAGATTATACCAGTCGGGCATTGTCTAGACATACCTGAGAACACTGTACCCTTTGAACGTGCCAATTTATCGGTTAGATATAGCGCTATTCGACATCATTTCATACTGCAGCTCATTGTTATCAAAAGCTAACGAGTAAACAATGACGTCCAAATTTTTCCTTTTATTATCCGGCGTTTTTGGGGGAGAGGTTGAAGGTGGAAGAACCAAATATAATTTCCAGGCGGCTTATGTTCTTAGGGGCTTATCGTAGGACTATTTGAGTGGTTTACTGATGGAGGGTGTTATCTTTAAGGAGTGCACAGTGTATGAAGTTCTCATCTTTACAATACGCTTGAAATTAATCCTTTCAGATGAGCTCAGGCGCAACATCTCTCAAAAGGCTCAAAACTTCGTTTATGAATTTGTGAGCACTTCTATCGTTGTTAAAGGCAACGCTGGTCCACTTTTACGGGCGTTAGTTAATACCGATGCTGCGGCAGCTGAAAACAGGTGAGAGAAAGAGTGTATGAGATACTTAGCAAGATGATAATCCACTTAAATTACGTGTTATTGAATTTTCTTTTCAGTATCATAAAATTCGAGACAAATTTACTTATTGGTTAGCTTTCTGCCTAGTGTAGTTAATTTTCTGTGCATACGCAGGTATAGCATGGTCAATATAGTGTAATGGTTATGAATCCCGCCAAATCCTTTGTTGTATGTTTTTTATGGACTTGATGGTGCACAACGTTCAATAACATTCCTATCAAATTTCATCGCATTGATCGATAAAAACGTAGCATTAATTTATTCCGTAACAATTTGTGAACAAAGAAAAAGAATTATGAACCGTCAGAGAGCTTACAACATGGACAGCAGCGGCTTTGCTATTTACCGCCTTTCATGATAGACCAGTGCCCTCTACCAACTATGGCTTCATTGATCTAAACTCTATGATTGGATTATTTTAGCACCAACATGGCTGGTACTTTAGTGAAGATTCTAGATGGGCTCGGGGACCAGTCTCTTAATGACAATCAGGCGAACAACACTATGGGCTGGATTGGTTATCTTGTTGGAGATTCGCTTGACGACAATGACGAGGAGTTTCAGACCGTGAGTGTTTGTTATGTAATTCTCTTTTAAACTCCGAGGGGCTTATTTATTTCAAACACGTTTAAAGGGAGGGTGCTTGATAGAGACGAGGGGCCTATTTAATTTGAGAGGGGGGTTTACTTTAATTTAGCGAAGATGGTGATATCAGTTCTCTATAAAGAACTAGAATGCAATGTGGAAGAAGTTGGAGGTCATGCAGCCGAGGATCAAAAACAAATCCGAACTTCCAACACGAGAACAAACCATCCCGAATCAGTTAAAATGACGTTTTGCAGTCATGACTGAGTAATACAGTCAATCATTTATTAGTGAAGAATAATAAGAGGGAGGGGAGGGGGGATTAAAAGAGAGGGGTGGGGCTTATACACTTTCTTCCCCTGAAAAGGGGGCTTATTACATAGGGGAAGGGCCTTATTTGAGAGAGGGAGCTTAATGTAGGATTTACGGTACTTTATGAAGAGGTAATTAAGAACACCATGACTGAGCACTTTACCTAATACGGTATATGTAAGTAGCCTCTTAACTTTTTTTTCATTTAAATGTCTCTTTCAACGCCCATGACTGTCAAAACACCAGATAACACACGGCCAAGAAAACACATACCCCATGATGTTCTAACTTTGTGGCAACCTATGCTCACATACAGTCATGATGACCAGTATGCCAAATTTGGAAAATACACAATGTATATTGATGAAAAGCCTTAAAGAGAGTTTTATACATCTGGTGTACTAAAAGAGAGTTAATGACCAGGTTATTTGTATACTATTAAGCAAACACGCAATCTAGGAAATTAAAACCAAGAAACTCGAGTCAGTCTACAGTAGATGTGACATGGTTCTTAATTGAAAACCCTCAGAAAATCCAGGAATAAATGTAAACAAAGTCTGTTTCGTCCTTGCAGAATATAATTGTTGCCTTAGATGGACTAAAGGTAAACTTAGAAAGTCTCTTTCGTCCTCACAGAATATAATTGCCGCCTTAGACGAACTGGGGGACAATTTGGCGGTCGACTTAGCTCTCGGCGATCAACCTAGGGAAGTATCTGATGAGCGAGTTGGAGTGGTCAGTGTACAGGTCACTAGTCTAAAAGCTGAGCTTCCAATAAGCAGCAAGCCCGGGGCTCCTACACTTGATCCAGGAGCATCGTTGAAGGAGTTTAGTGCCCCAAGGAGGTGTGGAGATGGCAAAACCTGTAGCGGAGTCCTTGTAAAACTGGTACATTACAAGCATAATTTGATTACTCCAGACGCAAGCAAACAGGATAGCCAAGTGGAGATTATTTCATCCTTGGTATGACCACCTGCACATTTTTACATGTATTTACTTTTATCTAGGAAATCGCGCACGATGCCTATTGCTCTAGGGACATCGAATACTATGTTTGGGTCCCAAAAAACTATTCGCCATTTACAGATTGCTGTACCATCGGATATTTTTTTTTCCACAAAGGGCCACACCGGGTGAATGAGCAAAGGATCAACTTCTCGTTAGCCGTCTTTGATGCTTTAAAAGCTCCCCCTCATGAGCTTATTATCGCCAAATTGCATTCAAATTTGCTGATTCGCAGATTAAGAATAATTAGTTATGTCTCTGCATTCTGTGCGATGAAGAAAAGTCAAAATTAATTTCTAATAACTACGCCAATCAAAAGCTAACTTTGGAGAACTACTTTAATAGATGCAAGATCTTGAATTTTTCTGATCTCCGCCCGAAGATTATTTCACAGTTTGGGAGCATCCGACTGAAAGGCTCGGTCACCAAGCGTAGGCAGGCATAATCTTGTACCCAGATCTCACTTTGTCTTACGGTGAGATTTGGGCAAGAGATTAGGACAGGCATCTTTTGTTGGGCTCTTATGACAGAGTAGAAGCTGATGGTTATTCAGGAATCACTCAACTGATGCATACGACCTTTTCTCTTGATACACTTTTTTTTCATGGAATCTTAATATGAATCGAGGTTGTTGTTGTTGTTGTTTTATTTTCACGCAATGTAACGATAAATGTTTCTTTGCAGGTTATTAATTGTGTATTAAGTGACCCAAATACCAAGGTAAAGCTCACAATCAGCGGTCTGGCCAATCCACTCCAACTGAAATTCTCTGTTGGCGATCCTCCTTCTGGTAAACAGGCTGCATGCAAATACTTTAATGAAACACTCAGGATCTGGATGTCAGACGGTTTGGAAGCAGTAGGACCTGTCAATGGCACTTTAACTTGTAAATCAACCCACGCAACTGTCTTCGCTCCGTCCAACGATATAAAGAACGCTAGTAATGCCACGACTACGTTGCCACCTACTACTACTGTTGGAGGTGAGACATAAACACGTTACATCTAACGTTGGGACTATATACGTACTTGTACAAAGGTTTTTGAGGCTGCTATTAAGCCCCCTCGGAGGAGTGATAAGACCACAATTATGTGTTAAATATAGTCGCATTTCTAATATTCAGTGTCCGGATTAACTGTAATCATGTGGTGGAAATGGATATCACTGAAATACGGAGTAAATCACTAGGTCGTTCTTTCCTACAGCGAACCGTGAGGCCAGTACCAAAATTATGACTTCAAAATTGGCATCACAAAATCACAACCAAGGATTATATCCTTAACTGTGAATTGCACTTCGCTCAGTCCTATTACTATTAAAAACTAAAAAATATTGTTCTTTGGATTTGCTCTAAAGTTCATAATGTTAAGATGATGATGATGATGATGATGATGACGATTTATGTTTATTGTTATTATAATGGCAGTACAAACGTCTGGATGCCCAGAGTAAAAAATAAAAGCTTTAGCTGGGCGGCAAACCGTAACCAGCCACAGCACCGACTAAAATTTATGGTACCAATTACACACTAATTATAATTTGTGCAAAAATAAATAAATAAATAAAAACCTAGGTAAAAATGATTTGATAAGAGTGTCATAAAAATTGAATAAATAAATAAATAAATAAAAACCTAAAAGCTTTATGGACGTTTTAAATTCAAAATGAAAATGTTCGTAAGTTGAAACCCATCGTTCATATAGCTGTCCATTCAATTATGAGAAAGTCAAAGGTATGGAAATAAAATTTCGATAATGTACAAGATTAAGTATCTGTTAAAATAGGTGTCCAAAATTCCCGTAGATATCTAAGCGCTCAGCTTGAACATTCTAGCAATGTGTAATGAACTAGACAGGATTGCCTTTTGCATTTCGCGCATAATCGATTCACACTTGTCTCCTACAAGCTCTTTAATATTTTTCTCAACCTCTTTCGAACAGCCCTCAAGGACATCTACGATGATGTTGTACTGATTGACCTTGTACTCTAAATCAAGCTTATTATTATTGTTATTATTATTATTAGTAGTAGTAGTAGTATTATTATTATTAACTTTATTGTTCGTTTGCTATTTTTTTCTTTGTTACAGCACCAGAAACGAAAGCAGAGAAGGATCACACAGGCGCCATAGTGGGTGGCGTCCTTGGAGGCTTAGTTTTCATTGTCCTTGTTGTTCTTGGTATTTGGTGGTGCTCTAAGAAAAAGGCCAAAAATACGGGGAGGATATCTCCAGAATCGCTGCCACTAAATCAAGCTTCAGATTACTAAGGCCTCGACCACATGAGCAGTTTTTCATTTGTTGATGTACATTATTTCATTTTCCCAAATCCTGTGGCAACTGCCGTAATTCGTAATTGTAGAAAAACTAGCTCGACATCTATGGAGGCCCGTTCTGGTCAAAATTAATATAATAAAATGGCATCACAAGTGACTTTTTCGGCCAGTGCAGCATTTATTATGGACCCGTTGTGTATTTTTGTCATCACCACACAGGATTTTTTTAGTGTGTTGTTATTTTTTTTTTAGCTGCATGAATTATTTTTTAATTAAGGCTGTTTACTTTTTTTATGTTGTTGTATGAATAAATTTTTCATGCGTACCACAAATAATTTTTTAGTGGTACCGCGAATTATTTTTAATACAAGTATTGAGAATTATTTTTTCATCGTGCTGAGAATTATTTTTCGCTGTATCGCGAATTTATTTTTGGTTCTACAATGCTTTGCGGGCCTTGCAGTTGAAGTGGACTGGTTCGAGTCTTTGACTTCCTTGAGCGACCATTTTGAAAACTTTGAAGTTGAGAAGTGCTTTGAAAGAGAATGCCAAGGCGAAACATTGTCAGGGAAAGAAACAAAAGAGGTTTTCATCCTTCTTACAAAATCTATCTGGAGCCAGTAGTCTTTGCCGTTCGTGATGAGGTTTTCTGGACAGAAGATTTAAGGTGGCTCCCTAGGGTATTTACTAATAATCCGAGCTATCAAGCATACGTTACAGAAGGAAATCTAGTTACTTTGTCTTTGCGATTTTGTTCACGAGATTCACCGCTAAGGTTACCCATATAAGAAGGCTCCTTTATCAAGTTTGATTTTCTATATTAAGGCCGTTGCCATGGAAACATCGCATCCTTAAAGAGGCAGTAATTTTGTCATTTTTGCCCATTTTTCCCTGATAGTTCTAATTTCCCGCGGTGAAATGTCTTTAAACTTTGCCACTTCATATTAACGATGTTGCTTAACATTTTAAAGTGGAAAAAACATGGGGTCGTTAAGACGGTTTTGCCAATATTTTGAAATTTGTAACTTTTCTTAATAGAGGAGTTTAGCTCTTACAGATTTTGACAAAAAAATGACATTACAAAGGTAACACCACTGTCAAGAAATGAGGCGATTTTAAAAATAATTTACCGAAGGAAACGCGAGAAATTCACGGTTAATTAACTGCGCTGACGTCACAAAAATCCGAAAAACACGCGTGGTTCGGGGTCGTGTGAGCAAAATACGCGCGCGAGCCGTCACGCCCGCATGCGCATAATGCACAAAGCTACTGAAAACATGTGGTTTCTTTGAAGAGTACGAAAGCCATTTTTTTGAAGCCGTTTATCAGTATCATTACGGTGATATCTCGCCAGTTGAAAAAGGAGGGATAGCGGATTCAATTTTATACCTAACACAGGATGTTTTCTTCGAAGTACGTGACTATTGTAGCTAAAATTCGAAGCGTGGTGGTCACTCGTGAGGATGGCGATCGTCGGCGATGAAGACGGTGGTTGTGCAAGGATCGCAATAAGCCCTTCATTTCCTAATCTGCTGTACACTGTTTGCAGATCTTCAAATGTTAGCCCACTTCCGGATACTTTTTCAACCTTGTTCTTCTTTAGGGATAATTTCGACGGCGAAGTTTTTCTTTTAAAGTCTGCTGTAAAAGATGGCGCCGATCTATATTTAATCGTATATCATGTCTTCAGCTACATGTACAAGACCGTAGGTCTCGACGGACAACTATAGCTTTCGTCAAGGGTCAATCTGTGAGTAAAAATTATTTCTCGTTGTGCAAAAACATTGTCCATTTACTTCGACTATTTAACGTTTGTCTACTTTTGAAGCGAAAGAATTGATGTCTTTGAAAAATTTCTGCTTTGTTTTTACATACAATTTACTCTTTTGGGGATCGATATTGACTTGTAACCGGTGTAACATTGTCTCCTCTCATAAATGTTTGACCTACACTAATCAAACTTTTTGCACAATGAGTTTCAATGGAAAGTTAATAAAGTTTTTTGGGGGGAATATTTCAAAACTGAGAGGCCATGTTTGTTTTAATTTTTGCGTGGACGTCGCGCGGATTTTAAAGCTCGCGCCATAGTAGTGCTCAGGCTGCGCACGGCCAATTTACTCTAGGAAGCCACCTTAATCAGGGCGTACCCAATCGATGAAAATCGATGATCGGAAAAGCAATCGATCAATCGATGCCAATCGATGCATGTCAGTTAATTGGCATCGATTGGTATCGGCCAATCGATGACCAATCGATAATCACACAAAAGTGTTCATGAATCATCGATTGTCATCGATTGGGGTTTAATATTTTCTCTGATCAAAAAGATTACTTCAATGTATCACATCAAAACGAAGTTATTTCGTACGACATTTGGTCCATTTGACAATTTTAACTACGCAATGGTTGCGTCGTACCTAGATCCGATGCAAAACATTTAATTCATTTTTCTTAGTTTTCCAACAGGTCTCTGCCCACACGCTGAGAACATGGAATTGTCAGTAACAGTCAGTTCTATCCAGAATTCTGAGAATTACACCGAGCTGAAATCGCGTGTGACGTAGAACAGCGTACAACAGAGTCAAAATACAACAATCAACTCAACTATGTGTTGCTTTGGAAGTTTTAAATCATAACATAACTGTAATTAAACTTAATTTTGGACGAAATGGGCGAGCCGTACAAAAAAAGTTGGAAAAAAACGGTCCTGATCGAGAAAGTTATAGCGGCAAGGGAAAAAGCAAACAATATGACATGTACAGCCTCTGCTACAAGCACAGTTGCTACTGGTCACGAAAGCACTATAAGCCACAGTTTGGACACTTCTGCTGAGTCTCTCACTGCAAAAGCGAGTACCTGCTCTTCTTCTTCCACTTCTTCGCGGTTTTGTCATGCACGTAAAATTGTACAGCCTTCAACGTTTATCTATTATTTTGATGAAAAAAAAGAAAGAGTGATCCACCTGTTACTGCTTTTACTGTTTATGATTGATCTGATCAATGCGTACATGGCAAACGCGATTTACCTTTACGTCATTAACACACTGATGTCAATTCAAGCAACTTTAATTTTCGAGGAACTAACTTGTCTGTTTTCCGTACTGCTTGCACTGTTGCTGTTGTTGTTGACCTGTTTTATGTTTGCGCAAGTAAATGTAAACTGCTTTTGTGGCGACAGTTGCAGTCTAATAGACATGGGTTCTACTGTTTATGCCGAGGGCTACTAATGTGCCACTGATAGGTGTGAGGTACTTTTTTGAAAGCGTTATAAAACTATTAATATCGTTATAGTTTGAAAGTGAATTCCTGTAAACTGGACTTCAAAGTTGCAAACAGTTGACACTTTTGGCCACCCCGTTCAAAATTTATACGGCCCGTTTACACAGGCGATTTTGGTGCAATTTATGTCGCGATTTCCACTGCGTATTTTCTCGCGATCGTGCTGCAACGAGTTGATTTTTATCACTAGCTAGAATGTCTACGAAACGTGGTAAATGCGTAAACACGTCTTACAAAAAAAGATGATTTCGTTTTCGTCGTAAGGTCACAACGCCTTGTGATAACAGGTAGAATTTGAGTTGCAGCGCGACCGAGACAACAATGACCAAAAATCGCAACCGAAACCACGACAACACAAAAATCGCCTCTGTAAGTAAACTGTAAGTGTTTTCACGTTATGTGCTAGTTGTTTGGGGTTCAAAGTTCAAGTTTATTGGTTTTTTTAATAAAATCAGATTGTTGTAACTTTCATCGAGCACAAACCAGAGGAAAGGACGGGAAATGCGAAAAGACAACTTTATTCAGTTAAGCAGAGTTAAGCTGATTATCTGTCAAGTTGTAAAAAAAACTCGATCTTCTGCCAATGTCCTCCACGATGTCATTGTTTTCGTCATTAAAATGCATCAAGAGACTGTGCCTTTGGAAATCTTGACTGAAAATAAAACCTATCAACAATAATAACCAATAGATGAAAATTGGTAAAAAATCGATGCCAATTAATCGATTGATATTGATAATCGATGACAATCGATGCCAATTAATCGATTGATATCGGCAATCGATGACAATCGATGCCAATCGATGACAATCGATAATCACACACACCTGGACGATCGATTGTTCATCGATTATCAATATCAATCGATTAATTGGCATCGATTGTCATCGAATGCCATCGATTCCCATCGATCATCGATTTCATCGATTGGGTACGCCCTGCTTAATGGAGGAGACTACGAAGGGACTTCACGACTCGTACACAATTCTAATTCTTATTCAGGGTGTCCTGGGGCCCGTTTCTCGAAAGTCCCGATAATTAACGGGCCCGGTAAGCTGTCTCCGTTTACATTAAAGATCGAGGTTTCAATAGTTTTGCATCTAACATGATAAAACTGTCAGTTAATGAAACAAAATGGAGTAGTTTGCTGGCCAGGACCCGCGCTCTTATTCTTTATATTTCGATTTGAATATTTGATTTCGGGCCCGTAAAGTTACCGGGACTTTCGAGAAACGGGCCCCAGTTCCTATTTTTTCCTATTTTTTGAGCCTATTCCTATTTTCTCCTATTTTTAAACTAAAACCTCATATTTTTCCTATGTTTTAGCCGGTGAAGGCAAAATTTGTGACAAAATTGAAAATGAAATTATAATTGTATGTGTTTTTGAGTCAAATTCATCATAAAGCAAGTAGTATGTTGACTTTGATATTCTAATATTAGTAAAAATAACAGTTACGTTTGTTCTTTCCATGACCTCTATTGCCTGTTAGAGTTCTGTTAACATTTTTGTTAACCTACATGTACATGGATTTTATGTAGTGTTATAGTTCTCCTCCTGACTACTGAATAATATTGTGTATAGCCCACTGAAACTGCATTTCAGTATCTGTACATGTTATATTTTATTTTAAGTCTTGCTCACTTTTATGTTCATCTTTGAAACTGAAAACAGGATCAAGTTGTCCTGTCACAACACAGGCCAATCCAATCAGTATCTTGTTTTTAAAAACCAATCATGATCACTAGCTGATTCTGGATGCTACATAAAAAGAACAGACTAAAGTTTAGTGTACGGCGCTAGCTCTCTTGGTGAGCCCTTGTTAACAGCTATACCTAAGCAACTGATGAAGGATCCAATATTTTGGTTGCAAAACCGGTCTTGCAATCATAGATAAGCAGTGTTATGTTCTTCTTATAACTTAACCATGACAAACTTACAATCTGGTACCAAACACATCAGTGTCATTTTGGGTACACCGCAGAAAGCCTGGTTTCGTACTTAAAATTATGCGGTGTTTTGACTCAAACAAGCATATTCTCAACCAGCTACCGATTGCAGATTAATGGAAGGAAAGCTTTCCATAGGACTTTTACGTTCTAGTTCGATATCCTTCAATGACAACTCAATCGTAAGAAATTTCTACACTAAGAAATTTCACTCTTTAAAGCTTTTCAAAGATTTGCCGCCAACTTGAGCGGAATTTGCATATGATCACCTTTGATTATAGAACCACGCTTGACCTGCAGTCAAGCATATCATTCTGATTATAGCATAACTGAGGCAATAAACTAAACGTTACTGATCATTTTTACTCTTTCTTAGCAGCAAAAGTTGATCTCAATCCTGCGAACGTAGAATCTGAGGACTCGTGGCATTTATTATAACCCTGATGGGGTGCAGGGAGGCCATCTTTGTCCACAAAAGTACTATTGATTTTCCTATTTTTCTCCTATTTTTTAATACAAAGTTTCCTATTTTTCCTATTTTCTCAATGCTGAGTCTCCTATTTACCTATATTTTTGAGCAACCATGCCGCTGGACACCCTGCTTATCGCACATGACATGTCTCCCCAATTGAACAGTTCCCTACCCAATCTTATACCTCGAGTCTTCGTCCCGTACCACACATGCTGGCTTTCGGGAAGGAAGATGCTGAGCAAGAACAAACCAGTGCAAAAGTTAATTGCAAAATACGTATTCGACCGCTATGAGAAAAGAAGATCATTAGTTCTTTAGGTTAACATTGATTATAGTTCCACTAGTGTGCAATTTGTGTTATGATTCTAAATTATTTGGATAAAGTCAATGTACATAGGACTGTATAAGACTCCAAATAAATAAAGCATTATCATTGTCATTGTCATTGCTGTGAAAGAGAATGCCCTCTACCCTGAACTTCAGGAAAAATCTCCCGATTCAAATCCTGACGGGGGGCATAAGAACTAGCAGAGCCAAATGGATTCGAGGTAGATGACCTTCGCAGAGTGCTAGTGAGAGTAGACCTCACTAACTAACAAACATGGGGAACTTGCTCGAGTGCCTTTACGATGGCAGTATAGTAATTCCTGATTTTTAACATTATGTTTTTAATATTCGGAGATGAATGAGTCGGTCCAACGTCAGATACCTGAGATATATAGCCAATAATGCCATAACATAAACATTAGATAAATCAATCGAATTTTCCATTTAGTGAGGTCTACGCTAACTAGCACTCAGCATAGGTCTTCTACCTCGAGTCCATCTGGCTCTGCTTCTGGTGCTCGCCCGTCTGGATTAGAATCGGGAGCTTCTTCCTGAACTATGGCGTACATTTGCGGACAAAAACAATTGAAAATAAAATACAATTTGAAGTTCAAAAATTAGACTATCCATGTCGAAATCTCGTCATATGAATTTGAAATCGTAATGAACGCAGTCGAAATAGCATCATTCGAACTTGAAGTTACTACTTTGAACAAGTTGAAACTATAAACGGAAAACTCGACATCGGGGATGTTAAGTTCAAATCACCATTCCAACTAAAATGCAAATTACATGATTTGAACTTCAATTTACCTTCTCCACTCTAATAAGCTACTTAATCGTCAACAATGCAACCATAATCTCTCACAAAATTCCAAATGAAACCTTTAATTTGATTAAATTCACGTCACATATTCGAATTCGAAAAACCAAAATTTCAATTCGAAAAGAAGCGGAAGTAAAAATACACAGGAACCGGAAATGATAAGAGTTTGGCTACACTTTACATACGGGATGTTTGTATAACTGCATTTTGGCGCGAAAAGATTTTCCCTTCACTCGAATAATTGATTAAATAACATTGGGGTAACATTTTCTTAAGTCTGGAGAGCAACATTTGTGTCCATAATATCTGTTTTTCGTGCAGCTAATAAGCTATAGGAAACGTCTTTGCAAAAATATTTTTGTTGTGTGCTAGGCTCGCTTTCATTTTGCATGAAATGTCGCGCGTATATGTTACGTTTTTACCACTACGACCAGTTTTACGTAGTATACCACTTATACATGGGGTCATAACATTAAATATACGTGTTAATAGGAGTAAAATTTAAGTTTTTCTCTTCCTTTTTAATAGCACAATTGAGTCATACTTACATTGTCATTTCCTACTCAAATGGGCATTTGGCAGAATACGGTCACACGCTACAAAAAAACACCTTGCAGGATGGCAACTGACAACGCAGAGGGGAAGGAAAAACAAAGAGAACATATTATTCAAAAAGCTAATATCCTTTCTTTACAAGCTCCCACTCCGTATGCGTCGCTTGCCATCCGGCAAGGTGTTTTTTGTACCATGTGACCATATTCTGCAAAGGGCCCTTCCGACGAGTGTCCTCTTGATAAGAACTTAAGACCAGCTGGTACTGTTCCATGTATTAAACTGGAAATAAAGCACCATAAACGGCATACATCTGAGTTATAAACGTGTGCATTTATTCTTAGAGGTGGCATAAATGTCATCGTGCTCTTTAGCGAATCAGCGCATTTTTGGAGACCGAAAGGCAGCTTATTGGCACGGAGTATATTCACGAGAGAAGTCATTGCACGCCGTGTTCATTAAAAAGCTTGAGAGCCCCGACTCCCTGAGCATCATCTACTCTCATCGAATCAAACTCCTGAAGCATGGATTCCCCCTTTTTCCCTGCTAAGTTTCTGAGGCCATGAAACCAGTGGTAGTTTCATTTAAGGGGCACAATTTGTCTGAAGCGTATCATATTTTTATCTGTATGCACAGGGGAAACAAGTAAACAATTCAAAATTGTTGAACCTAACAACTTGCTCAGTCTCATTAAAATAGGTAGGTAAGAAAAAATACACCTGAATTTCTGATAAACAGTAACTCTTTGTCTAGTCATATCAACATATTGACATCTATTAATTTGAATATTGCATGGATACATATATTTCTTGCACACCTTCTCAGTGACACACTGAGGTACAGCAGTCATAGGTAACAATTTTCAAAACTGAAACTAGGTTGCTAAGTCATATAGGATTGTGGATAGGTGAGGATGACTATGATACCACCAAGGTTTGTGGGAAAGTTCACGCACAACAGAAGTCTTTGCGTCCTGTTACTGGTCAAAAGTTAACTGTGTTTAGGAGAACCACTGCCGATGATAAAGCTATGAGGAACAGCAATGGAAGCTTTACTACCTGCTCTGCCTATGATATCCCATACCAGAGGTACCAGGCACACATTGACCAACTTGGTGTAATGAAAATTCTTCTTGTCAAGCCAACAGGGAGCCTTTTAAAGGGAACAGAGAAAACCAGTAGAAAGGTCATTCTTTTTAAAACATAACAAAACAGTAAATTAAATCCTATACCGGTATGTATACCTAGACATCTGATACACTATCCAGTCCAGTGTGTTGCTGAGCTCCTGTCTTTTACAATTTTATCAATAATAAATAAATTGTTTCGATGTTTAGTACCTTCATTCTTCGGATTTGTCAACCTTTTTTCAGTGACCAACAGTGTATATTGTTCTAATGTCGTTTTTTCCCCACTTTGGTCACTGTCTGTTGGGATTTTATAGGGCGTGTCGAACGACGTATATCGGTCGACAAGTAAATATAGACAGAGTGGAGATTCTTTTTATGGGACATCATATTAAAACAATATTCTTCAACACCAACAATTTGTTGAAAGTTTGGCAGAGCTTTCGGAACCCATTTGGATCCCTTAATCAGTGATGATGTTTGCTGTTATTGGCGACCGGAATGAACCGCGATCAGGGCTACAAACCTGTCCCAATTTATGGAACAATTTTGCAGTTTCATCAAAACGGGGCTGCGAATAACAGCAAACGTCATCACTGGGTAGGTTCCGAAAGCTCTGTTAAACTGTCAACAAATTGTTGGTGTTGAAGAATATTTTTTTGTAACACGTAAAAATTCAGTTTCAAACAGTTTAACACCGAGACGAAGGGGAATTTATTCTTGTCTTTTAGACTTGAATGAGGTCTCTAATGATTAATGGAAAAAAATGGATTAACTTGATGTTAAGAAATATCCAGTTAATAGAAATCTTGATTCATCTTTCTCTGTCCAATTCGAAGATTTTTCCTAAAGATTTCGTTTTGAATTTTTCTCGGTTTTAAAATATTATGTATTCAAATAATGCTCTTTTCTTCACTGAAGAGCAACTACATGGAAACTTGTTTTGGCTGTGTAGTTCATGCAGGTCAAAGTACCAAGTGAACCTATTAAATGAGTCTTAAATGGCCTGGTTAAACGCAAAGTCCCTTCTTTATCGCAATCTTGGAATTGTAAGCACCCTATCGGTATCTCGGTATCCCAGGATATAGGCCATATAAATGCTCGAGGTTCAAAAACGTTGTTGTTGTTACTGTGCGGCTGTTCAAGCTGTTTGTAAGAAACTTTGAAAGCCGTATTCTAACTTACAATTTTAACGACAGAAAAATGAAAAGGGCTATTTCTTAAATTTTGCTTTGCTTATTAGGTCATTGGCCGCATTCTGCTGCTATTTATATTATCGTTTTGCTATCAAAACGTTGGTACAGTAAACATGTATACGTGATTGTCGGCTAATTAAGCACGATGCAAACTGTCACGGTGCAGCAGGTGCTTTGCGGGTGACCACTCAGGTGATTATCAATCTTAATTTATTAACTGTTTGCCTTTCAAGTTATCTGCGCACTCTTTCAGTGCCAGTTTTGCTCTGCAGAATGGCCGTGATTGCGTGGGTGACGCAGTCCTTGTTTCTTTCTGTGGCTATATTTCTCTTGCTGGAAGAGGAATCTGTTTTACATGCACGAAGATACTTATTGTGCCTCAAGGCAACGGAGGGAGCCGCGCAAGAAAACAAACAGCCTCATACTATCGAGAGCTCGGCGAGTAATTTACGACAAAGTTGCAAGATAAACAAAACTACAAAAAGGCCAGTTCTTTTCGGGGGGCTGTCTGCCGCTCATATGAGCCTTACTCTTGTGGTTTATGGACTAAAAACCCACAACTCGGACACAACAAATCTGTCTGTTCGGTTCTACTTGTTGTTTATACTTCCTGCTGGGCGCTGACTTCTATTCTTCTGCTAGTGAAGCTTGGCTATTATTTGTCTCCAGGGCATTTCTTTCTTGAAACAACAGGGAGGAGCGGTTTTTTGTTCACTTTACTTACCTTAGCGCGGAATAAGTTCGGGACAATTTTTACATTGGCTCTACAGACAATTTTTCAAGTTGCATCTACTGACGAAAAGAAAGAGGTTTTCGAAGAATATCTATGTTCACCTGAACTGGAATACGCAGCTCTCGAACAAACTAGTGTAAACCTATCTCGCATTATTGTTGTTTCGTCGACTGCCTACCTTATTTCAAGTAGCTTCACTCTTTTTCTTATTCTAGCTCAAGACGAGAATTTTGAGCCAGTTTTAAACCAAGTGATGAGAAGCACAGGACCACCAACATTATGTGATGGACCAGTGGAACCAATGAGGGATAATGTTGATATGACAGGGAAGGATGATGAACAGCTTTTAAATGGTAGAAAATATAAATCTGCATTACGAAAAAATTCCTGTCGCTACCTGAACAAGAATGAATTGGTCGTGTCTTTTCTGGAGGACGAAAGCGACGAGGATTCTTTTGTATTTGGCTGGCGATTGTGACGATTGTACAGTAGAAAATGAATTATATAGATCTGGTTCGTCGTTAAGTTTTCTACGACTTTCTTTGCTGATGTATACGTATATGGCTGTCATTTCTATGACAAGCGCTTGAAGTTAAAAATATTGCTGCAGAACCTCGCACGAGTCTGCGAGTCTTGTGTGGGCTTATTCATAGGACCAATACTAGAAAAGCACTGTCCCAGAAGCTCCCTGTCTGGTACCCAGAGTCCGAGGGCTTTTCAGTTAGCGAAAGGACACCAATCACTAACCCTCTAGGTACGAGATTAGGGAGCTTTAGAAAGGACTACGGCGACGGCAACAAGAACGGCAAAAAAGCGATAGGTTTGTTAAGCAAAACAACAACTTTGCACGTGCATCACACTTTTTTGTACCTTTCTTGGCCTTCACTGCACGATTACGACGTGAAAATAACTAATTTCACGCCTGGAGGACGTAAACAAGCGACGACGAATGGTTACAACATTAAGCCCATTTATACGAGGAAAAATAAGACGCGTCTTATGTAAGACGCGAACTGGACCATTTATACGAGCATGTCTTACCTAAGACGAGAACAGCTTGTATAAATGGTTCGCGTCTCATTTCTGTTCTTGATTCGTTTTCATGTGAATGTTGCCCGTAGCAACGGCAATCCAACGTGGCGCGCCAAAAATTAACGCATGCGTAATATGCGTTCGCGTCTTACTTAAGACGCGAAGGTCATTTATACGACGTTTTTCTCGTCTTAGCTAAGCCGCGTCTTATTTTAGACGAAATGGGCCGTTTATACGGAAAGTTCGCGTCTTATTTAAGACGCGTCCTATGTAAGACGCGTCTTATTTTTCCTCGTATAAATGGCCCTATTGTTCCAGCACTGCAATTCTCTGTTGCGCGAAAAAGCGTCGTTGCGAAGCGTCCCGTGCAACATCATCTTTAAGATACCACGACGGCGACGACGACGAGAATGTAAAAAAAAAAAACAATAGGATAGGCAAAACAACAACTCTGCACGAGCATCACGCTTTTTTGTTCATTTCTTTGCCGTCACTACACGACTACGACGGGAAAATGCCTAATTTCACGTTTTATGGAGGACCATAACAAGCGACGGCTAAATTTTCTTTCTCTTTCTGAACTTGAAAATAGTTCTCAGGAATTCGGCTCAAAAAGAGTTTGCTTGCATTTGACAAAGTAAGTGAGTTGGAGTAATCGCGATAGATTTAATTCTAAAGAACGCAAATTCACTTTTTAAGTGACGTTTTCGTGGCCCTCGCCGTCGTGGTATCTTAAGCCCCGTGCAAACGAACGCAACATTGTTGCTCCAAATTGCCATCGGCTAATCTGCAGGTAACGTGTGCTCCTGCTTCTGGCTCGCTTGCTCCACAAAACCCATCGCAACTGCACAATAATTGCTCGCTCATCAACAACCACTGTTGACCTTTACGCTTCGATATGACCGCAAACTACCAGGTTTAATACGCGACGTGAATATTCAAGCTTAGCGACCGCGTTCGCGCAACAATGCAGCACTTGCTATGGGAGGGATGGCACTATTGCTTCTAGGTCAATCGACACTGACCGAAGATCTGCTGCGTTAGTTTTGACCAGAAAACAAAAGGCGATCGCGGGACCGTTCGTAAGTTTTCAACAGGGCGGCTCTGGTTTTCAAGTTCGAATTCTTCTAACGTTCGCTGTCTCAGCTACTGTCACATTGTTCTTCCAGCCGCTTGCATAGGTTCTTGACTCTACCAGACTGCTTAGATTAACAACGTCTTACTCCATAATACGTTGTCCAAACTAGTGAAGGAGGACGAGAATTTTCCGCCCAGGAAAAAGGCAAAATCTGGCCCCCGCTATGCAGCTGAATAGAAGATACAGCTGAAGATATCGTAAAGTAAAATTTATGTGCGCGACATCTTTTTTTATTATTATTATTATTCTCAAAACTCAGGGGCACCCAACGATGATTTCCCCCTAAATGTAATGAAAACACATTTAAGGCTGTCCAGAGTACTTTTGACCGAAAAATGCATTCTAAACAGCGCTTACATAAATTTAGTCAGGAGGGCTAAAAGCGAAGCTAATGATTAATAGTTTGCTCATACTAAATATAAAATATATCGTGTAATGCTAAGCGGAGAAGGCAACGAGACAGGGCCACCCAGCGACTGTTTCCTCAAATACTTTCAATTGAAAACACTTTTGTAGCTATTCATAAAGTACTTTTAGCTCTATAGAAATGCATTCTAAGTGGCGCTATAAAATTTGCATCTCAGTGTACGGCCATTCTAGAGGAACTTGAGTCTTTTCGAAATTACGAGGAATTCAGAATTATTTTCCCGAAAATTTTAGATGCAATTTAACGTATTACGAAGGAGATAATTTTTCAGATACCTTCTTTCATCACATTTTTGAATCCGAAAATTATAGGATTCCATTTTACCCTCTTCGAAAAATAGCCTAACCCGGTGAGTGAAATGTGAAAAATTAAAAGTTGGATGCCCTTGACCAGAACTGTGAAAAACAGCAATAGATCTAATTGCAGCACACTTTCTTGTACATTTCCTTGCCGTTGATTTGCATGACTGCAACGTGAAACGTCCAGAAAACTTCCTGGTTTTCACTTTTTATGGAGAAAATGTGGTACATGTTCTTGTTCACTTTTTCCACTGCCGCTCATCTTTTTTAGCTCCGCTACAAGATTCGTATCTGTTCGGTGCTCCGAGGGCAAATTGGATCTGTTTAAAAATTACAAGGGCTTCAATATTATTTTCTAGAAGCAATAATACCATCCCACCCATAGCAAGTGCGAAGCGTAAAGGTCAACAGTGGTTGTTGATGAGCGAGCAATTATTGTGCAGTTGCGATGGGTTTTGTGGAGCAAGCGAGCCAGAAGCAGGAGCACACGTTACCTGCAGATTAGCCGATGGTTATTTGGAGCGGATTCGTCGATTATTCTCGAATTTATAGTGCTTCGTGTGAAGGCGCGTGGAGATGGTCTGTTTGTTTTGTAGCCAGCCTTTAATTCTTCTTTAGTGGATAGTACCTACAATTGCAAAACTCAACAAAATGCCACTTAAACCGGCCAGGAAAGACAAGGATACGTTCAGTTGAAGGTATCTTAGCTTTGTTTTGTTATATTTTGACTTTTGGACTATTTTAGTCCATGGGAGTTTCGACGACTCTTCGCATTAATTTGTCCATGTGAATATTAATATATTCATTCAGTGACACATACTACGTCTGGGCCGCCTGTGTTGAAATCGGTCAAACTTTTCAGCCAACAACTCCCAACATTTCTTTTGTTCCGTGATCGCCCAAGCGTAGCGCAACAATGTTGGATCCGTTTGCACAGCTCTTCCAACATTGTTGGGGCCACGCACGCTCATTACGCATGGTTTACAAAGACTTATGGGTTGTATCCTTCCCATGATGCACTGCAGGTCCCAACATTGTTGGGAGTTGTTGCATCCGTTTGCTCACCACTGCCAACATGCACGCAACAACTCCCAACATTGTTGGCGCAACAATGTTGGGAGTTGTTGAGTCCGTTTGCACGCAGCCTTAACACAGATTCGGCATTTGGAGCATTAACGTCACTTAACGTTGCAGGAAGAGAGTATGGCACGCGCTTTTTAGGCCCGTCCCCCAGGGACCTGTCGGGTCGCAAAAGAGTAGCGGCAGGAAAGAAGAGGCCTGTACAAAACAAAAGAACCTGGGGGTGAGGTTGCGTCGCGATTTGTGAAAGGAAATTACTTTTACATCAAGCTGGTAGCTGATAATTAGCGCAAGGTGTAGACTACTACAGGGGAACCTCGATATAACAAAGGGCCAAGGAATTTCTTTACTTCGAGGTTCTTTTCCATATATTATACGATTTTTCCTGGCCGTGGATTGGATCTTAGCCCCCACGCAGGCTTTCTAAAGGCTTCATCACGCGTGACGAAGCCGTAGGAACGTTTTACGTATTTTTCCCTTTGATTCGCCTAAACCGAGTCGCGTACGCCGCATTTACAGACAATGCATTTTTTAAAGAGGTCGGGGGAGAAGGAGTGAAAACGGAGAAATCAAGAGTCGCTTGGGTAACGTCGGTTTACCCATTTGGCCGCATAAAGACCAAAGCAAAGCCACAAGGTGTGGAGGACGAGGAAAACTTGATAGTGAGTTTAGAACATTTTGACGACATTGTCATGGTTGATAAGAGTAAAAACCATGGAAAATTGTTGTCGATTTGTTAAACTTCTTATTACTCCTTTGCTTTATCCTTTTTATGCTGGTTTCTTTTCTTTTCAGCTTTCCTTTAGATCTGTCTAAGCCCTGAAAGCTTAAGGCACCGAGAGGTGTAACATTCACAGCCACTTGTTTGTGAATGTACAACACATGAGTGCAGCCCTTGCGACCCTAATCAACATCGTTTCCACGGCGCGCAAGCCACAAAACTTCACTAAAACGCACCGTGGTAACTCGATTGCGGGAGCTTCAACTAATTTTGATAGTAACCTTGTTTAGTAATCTCTTTCTAGCAAAACAGGCTGTAATTGGCGGGAGAGATCATTTCTGTCAAACAAGGGCACAACGAACAGTACGCTAACCATCGAAAGTACGTCCTTATTCTAATGTCATCAAATTTCTTAACCACGTTCAGTGCTGTATACATAAATGGCGGTCGAATATTTGGTTGTTATTTATTGAAGACAATACGCCGTGGCCCTAATAGTCCCGCCAACACGTACGATTTGCATAGAATTCTTTTCTTAGATTGAGTTTTGAAAGGTATAATCAACGTCTTATAAAAATCACACGAATTCGGCCGCCACTTGTGCAATCAGTCTGCAATTCTAAAACGTCTTCTAGCAAATTTCCCCAATGATCCAGACGGCGGCCTCAGAATATGTACTGTTCTTCCACGGAAAATAAAAGCAGTGTCCAGTTATTGTAACAAAGCTCCTTGAACAAATATTGCTTCCCTTGGAGTCTCTTTTTTGACCATTAAAGGAGGACATTTCCACGCTATTTACATGACGCCAAGCTGTCCCTTCATGCAGCTTCGAAAAATATTACTGCTTGTATAACATGTACATTATATGAAGTTTGAGAATTTTCTCCTCTCAGATTAATTCAAAGATTTATCCGATAATATCTTCAGCCTACGAATCTTGACTCAATTTTGGTCCGTTGAAAACAGATAGTCGCATTTTTCTATACACGTCTGAATGAATAAAATAAAGTACATTTGACTAGACATCTCCAAACGGGTGAAATCCGGCCGAATTATTGTAGGGAACAACACCAAAGCCAGGTTTCTAGCTTCCATGAGATTCTCTTTTGAGTATTCCGTGACTCTGAAATGAAAACCAACAGTAATTCATTATTCGAAACTTGGGAGACTTTAGGCCATACGCGCATTTGGTGCCCGGCTTCGATGCCCGATTAGGATACCCGCTGGGCCCTAATATGAACACCCTCCTTCTTCAAGTACCCTCGCAATAATTCGGTACAAGGACGAAAGCTTCCATTGAGGCACACAACGGATCCCTGTGTGCGCGTTTCTTGTTAGTTTCGAGGCAACCCACTTCATAGCACACCCATAACTCACTACTACCTCACTCAAAAACTGGCGTCTGAAAACGTGTAGTATTAAGTGCCCAGTGAGTGAACACAGAACCATTTTGTGCCAGTAGCCAGGCGTGACTTGTATTCACGTAACAACAACAAATAGATACATATCGGATACACAGAGTGTGTGAACACTGCACCATTTGGTGTTGGAACCCAGGGACTGGTGTTTGGGCACCAAATGTGGCCACGGCAGGCTAAGGTACACCAGATTGCCGGCTAATCACATATGGTAAATGAAAGGTTTATCATCCTCGGAAATGCCGACCATTTGAACACGCGGTAACGACTGCTTAAAAGCAGTACTGATCACTGGCTCGTTTAGAACCGTTGGTAGAGTTTTGACGATTATTCGGCTACAGCTTTTTTGTTGTCAGTATTATACATGCAATGTTGTGGACCGTTCGGACATTATTTGTCCAATGTAAACCTGAGATTAAAATTCGACAGTTAACTGCAACAGTTGCGATTTTCTTATTAAAGCAACGTACCGGTTAAGATGAAACATGATGCGCTTCACCACAGCCAAGTTATGGGGCGGCAAATCGTGAAGAATCTGCCTCAGTCGAGCTAAACGGTCATTGGCATCAACATGAACTGAAAAATACAAAGGTAAGTCAGAAAATAAGGTTCTCGTTTGAACACAAATTGAAGATTGTACCGTGCTACTCAAGAAAACGTGCAGCAACAAATTCAAGCCGATGCAAACTTTTTCACAACGCAAGAGGTATCAGGCCAAACAAGATCTAGAGTTGCAACCGAATGAAAACGAATCCTTGCAAAGGCTAGCATTTGCTAATCTTCGCTCTCCCTCGGTTTTAGCCTGTTCCAAGCGTTCAGATAGTAGAGAGTGGCGTGAAATTAAGAGCGGTGGAATAAAAATTTTCATATTTCTTTGCGCCGTCTCCACTAACTGGATGCCTGGAATAGGTTACCTCGGTTTGGGATATTAACAAATGTTACATGTGCTAGTCTACGTAAAACCACTTTGGACGAAAAATGACTCTCAAAATGACTGTGCTACTCATTGTAACAATTAAGGTACGGTAAAACGAACAACAAAAACGTGCAACTTGTTTTGCGACATTGCTGCAAGAAGAGACGAGAGGCCATGTGGCGCGTGTTACCACTCACAAGTCAATGACCTTTCTTGCAACAAATCAGTTTGTTGATTGTTATGCGTCGCACCGATCTCTAAAGTGGAGAGCAATTTCGCTCCGTTACGGAAATAACGCCGTAATCACCGTTCTCGTGCGTGAACAAAAGCCCTATCCTGTATAATTTTTGTGCCGGCGCAAAAGCTATTCGGTTTTTTGTGAATATAGCTCGAGTCTATAAACACTTCTCTGTACTCACCCATTGCATCATGTAAGGCACTCTGAAGTGAGTTTGGAATGACAGGTTCGGGTAGTAACTTCAAAAAAGACTTGAAGGCGCCTGTTACTGCATGAACTCCGACCCCCAGCTCGGCCAACTCAAGTCCGTGGTCTGATACAGAGAGATGGAAGTACAATTAGATTAATGTCATTGACGAATAAGGAAAACTCCAGGGTGTGTCTACAATCGGGCTAGACCCGATTGTCCTTTTCGAAGTATGACATTAGAGCGATTTTCGTATGTCCTTGAAAAATGGTTTCGGTAAATGTTTGTTATTTGTTTTATCAGCCAATGGATGAAAAGAACAAAACATGGACTCTTCGTTTTCCCGCCAAAGAAAACCCTTATATGGAGAAGGCATTGTTCGATTGACCAATCGTGTTACAGTATGACGTCAAAGCGATTTCTAGAAAGTTCTTCGGGCATGAAGTTTTTCAGCCGAGCGTTCGCTTAACCAACCAAAAGCCAGGTGCGTTTGTATCCGTTCGATAAACCAATCAAATCGCTTTATTTCCGTTCGCTAGTCGTTTCTGTTTTGTTCGCGCGTTTTCATTTCAAGGTCATACGAAAATCGCTCTAAGTTCTCTGCTGGAGGACTCATCGTTTCTGTCGCACACATTGTAACAAAGTCAGTTCGGGGACTCCCTTTTTACTCGTGTAAAATTAATATATAGTATATTGGACCGTTTATACAGTGTGTCTTGTACTTACTTTCTTCCACTTTTTGCTCGATGAGGCCAATGTCCGCTTGATTACCGTTTACTCTGTAAATTCCCTCAACTTGCATTCCTTCAAAAGGAAAAGAAAAATTGCCCTATTTAGTTCATAATCTCTTGCCAGCAAACACCTGGATCGCCGCAGCAATGAGGTGGATGATGACAATTTTCGTATGGATTCAGATGACCACAAAGAATTCGTGGACACACACTCTCTTACGTCTGGAGTAGATTAGTGAGTCCTTTGCAGTCGTTCGGGCCAGAGTCACGCAATGCTTCCCTTCCCAAGCATTGCGTGACTCTGGCCAGAGCGGCTGCGAAGGAGGCTAGGAGCAGATCGGGAGTACACCTTAACTTTATATTAGAGGATGAAACTAAGGTGAAAACTGAACAAAGGCCTCTGAAACATCGGATCAAAGAAGGAAAAGCAAACTGAGCACTGGATAGCACAGACGAAGACTGAACGTTCATTCGCCTGATACTGAACACAGTGAACGCCCGCTAAAAGGAATCTAGTCGTTTAAGAACCTGCTGGCAGAAATTTGGCACTTAAATACCCAAAAATATAAGAACCTGTTATATTCGGGTTACAGGTAAATTATGATAAATCTTTTAACCAGGGAGTTTGACTTCGAGATTGCCAATTAGTCTTTGATATTACAAGAAAATACTGTCCTTAATCGTAATTACAAACAAAATTATTACTGTAATTCTTGTAGTTCTTAAACGCGGGTGTTTACTTTATTAAAGAATATGATTTTATGGACTTAAAACTAAACGATGCAATTTTCTGTTGATCCTCATCGGCCTCAATGATCTTGACTGTTCCAAAATCGTCACTTGCTAGAACTGGAATTAAATAAAACAGAATAAGCGGGGCATACCTGCGTTTTCCACAAAATCGATGCACCTGTCCACAAACACAGGAACATGGGATTCAGTATCGCAAATTGTTTCCAGCGGCTGAGCGAAATACGTAAAATTGGTGACTTTTTTCTGTCTGCTTTCGAAAAACTTGTCAATTTTCTCTTTATCTTTTCTCTTCTTTTTCTCCTCGCGTTTCTGGCGTTTTTCCTCTTCGCGTGACTTCTTCTCTTCCTTCTTTCGCTGCTTCAAGGCCTCGCGATCCTCGCGTGGTGTCTTCTTTTTCGATGAAGACCACGCCTAAAACAAATGCAAAACCACTTCAAGCTAAGAAACGTTTACGTAAAGGGTACTACAGTGTAGGCACCACTACTGCAATAAGGAATTGTGCAAATAACCTTTTTACGGATGAAAGTTCTGCGCTACCGCGGGTGAAAGCTATGACAGGTTCATCAGGCTTTTAAGCCTGATCAACTTGTTTAATTTAGCGATGTAATCCAGTTTAATGATCTGCCAAGAGTTCCGCATCAAAACTCTAGACAGGTACATTTCTAGCCTATGAATACAGCAGTCTCTCTTCTTTCCTCGCTGCTATTAGGACGTTTCGTATCGTTACACAACGCGTGATCATCAAGTGGATACCGTCTCCATTCCTGAAACTCAGGTAACAACACATATGACCAATCCGTCGACGTCCCCAGTACTGCAGACCGTTTCAAAATTATACCACAAAACTTACCGATTTTTTTGTTTTGTGTCCTAACGGTGAACCAGGATCATCTTCTGTTTCCTACAAAATTTAAACAAAACCGTAATTTCACGGAGGAAAGGACAACGTGAGTACGTGTGTACAATTACAATCTGCGCTACTATCGCTAATCTCCAGACGAGTCCGTTGGAGAAGTAAGCCCAAAGCTTTTAGCTCCGGCTAAAATCACGACACCACTTTGGTCGGACAAACCTCTTGTACACCCCCTCCTCTCCAATAAGCCCCACTCCATTAATTGCTTTTCAGGGATAGAAAGCTAATTAGCCTCCATCTCTTTTTGACTCCCCCCCCCACACACCTTTATTCTAAAATGATAGACTGTATGGACTGATCCGGTATGATTTATTCACGTGCTGGAAGTTAGGATTTCTTTATGATATTCTGCACGACCTTCAGCTTCTTGTGCCAGAGCCTTTCCACTTTGCGTTCTAGTTTTTATGGAGAATTGGTATTATCTTCGCTAATTAAATAATCCCCTCTTTGAAATAAGCAGCCCCCCCCCCCCACCCAAACGTGCTTGACTTAAAAAAAATAATAAGTAACCCCCCCGGGGACGGGCTAAATAGAAGATTGACGGTAGGAAAGAACGTACCTCTTCTGTCCCGAGATCTGATTCTCGCCGAGGAATATCCAAGTGATTGGGCTGCAATAACGATACGCAAAAGATTGGGAATTAAAAGCGAACTTCACGGGGGAGTTCCTACTGTGGTGACAAAAAAGACTTGGGTGAGAGTTAAGCCTATCATGACTTCTAGTACCTACCCTGAATGGTCCTTTGTGCTTGTTTTTATCCTTGGTGAATTCCAAGGTTGACTCATCTTCCTGGCTTGAGGACATGGTACCAGTCCTCCTAGATTCTTTCTTGGCTAAAAATTAGTAAACACAAAGCCAAAGGATATGAAGTTTCTACCTACATCACTCATTCCCCGCACCTTTTTATCGAAATATGATCGCTTCAACTGAAAATTACTTTGCAATTTTCTTAAGGGCCTTAAGGACACAACTCACCTCCAAAAATTAATTTCGGTCCAATATCGAGGTTTCATTAAATTGAGTATCTTTTCCGTATATTTTCTATTACTGGGACGAAGAATGTCGTTCGTTATACCGAGGACTTCGTTCCACTGTAATTGACGAGGCTGTTATTATGTCCCTTACTCACTCTGGATACAGATCAGTCATTTCTATGTAATCTAGCCGTTTGCAGGCTAAACGATAGTACAATGTACCTTTATTTCTCAATCACTTCAAGACCTTGGGAGTCGATCCTGCCCCGGGAATCGATTCCAAGACCTACCGCTGAGGAGGTCAGCACTCTACCGACTGAGCAAGCCCCTACCGCGGTAAACTACAAGCTACAGTACATGCCACCTAAAGATCATGAACCTATCCCTACGGTCCGGATGAAGATACCCAGCTGTTCACTGTACTTACTTGATTTCCGTCCGGAGAAAAGCTGTTTCTTGTGTATCTCGGTGGGTACCTTAGGCGTGTTGGCTGGGCTGCGTTGCGTGCTCCGTGACCGCCGAATCACATACTTCTTCTTTACCGGTCGCAGCTCTTCTGTTCTGGGCAGAGTAGCCTCATCACCAGTCCCTTGATCTGAAGTATTACTGTCCCCTCTTTTATCGCGTCTTGGACCGAGAACTGGTCGACCATAAGTGTCTGTAAACCAAAGTTGATGCTCTTAATACCCTTCTTAAGAGAATCAAGCACTACTTAGACCGTCATCAGCAACAACACATCATGTAAAGACAAAACTATTTTGGCCTCATAGCCTTAACTTTTCCGCGACCTACATGTAGTACCCGCGCTGGTGAGGTACCACCTTACACCCACACTCTGAATCATCTCTGGATCATAACATTTTAATGAGACGTTTTTGAAAACTGGAGTTCTCGAAGAACTGGAGAAATCGCGATGAATTTTAATAACGCAAATGCGCATTATGAGTTAAATTTCGTTGACAAAACCGTGATGTGATTACTTAAGCCACCTACTGGTATAAGCCAGTCAATCAGTTCTTCCTTTAATTTTTTGCATTTATCCTCTTAACGCCGACTGAGAAAAAAACAGTGGATTTTCAAGTCCAACCAAACTTTTACTAGTGCTGGAGCAGGGTAGACTGCTTTTCCTTTAGCAATGGAACCGTGGAAAGAATGGTAGGTAAGATTACCGCGCGAGGGCGCTTACTTCACGAGTGATTTCGTTTTGGCCGGGGAGCCACAAGAAGAATGGGGGTGAATCAAATTATCTACCCTGAGAAAACAGCCGACATTTGGCGGCGCTACCACTAGTTTCCCCGCCAAATGAAGTCTGAGAAACGAGCGCAGAAATTCCATACTGATGACACGTCACTACCCAGATATGGGTAGTGCTTCTGATTGGTTAAATCAAATTTCCTACGCGGCACGACCAATCAGAAGCACTACCCAGATCTGGGTAGTGACGCGTCATCAGTATGGAATTTCTGCGCTCCTTTCTCAGACGTCATTTAGCGGGGAAACAAGTGGTTACGTCGCCAGATGTCGGCTGTTTTCTTAGGCTACAAATTATCCTCCTCCTCACATGCTGCAGAAGTGCCCCCAAAAATCATTCACCGCTTTGATATCACCACCAACGTAAATTGGTCATCACCTACCTCGCCGGGATTTCCTCTCGATCGTGCTAACATCCTCAGCGGAATGCGACAGTCTCAAGGAACTTTTAAGCGTGACTTTTGCGTGCTGTTTGGGTTTTTTATCCGATGCATTGGGCTCCTCCACGATAGCCACAGCGTAAATTGTCGGCCGTGGCTTGTCCGAGATGTTTAATTTGTTTTTTAAAGCGTCTTGCACTTGTGCATATTCTGGATCGCTCACATCCTGAAAGAATAACACGATCACGTTAACTGGACCCTTTCACTCAACGTGGTCAATATGGCGAAATAACACGCCGTTCTGACTCATCCACTTTTTGACCAAAAAAAGGTTGGTTTGTTAAGTGACTTCATGTTCACGTAACTGGACCCTTTTACTCAGCGGGGTTACGAGGATAGTTTCGGCTCGTGGTCAGGGGGGTGGGGAGTAGAATTTCCAACCCAGAGAACTTTTTCTAAGACGGATTAAGACAAAGCAAAGAAACTTTGTTCAAACTCTGGATAGCGCATTTCTATCCAGCGGATAAATACAGTGAAACTTACGTATAGCGGTCACCCTTGGCAGATGACCGTGTGACCGCTATATACAGTTTTCCTTAAAACTCTACTGGAAGTTAAAGAATAACGCTTTTATGTGAAAATAATTAATCCATTTATATTAACAGTTGCATAACAAATACGAGAAACAGCCTCTTAAATTTGTAAGTATTAGGGACGCCACTTCGTTATTCAATGCAGCATAGATATCTATCCGGATAGCGTTATAAACTGCTGGGACCGTGTTAGTTTTGCAAATGACCTCATACAAGCTACATAAGGTCACCATGTCATACCTCCTGCTGTGCAAGCGGTGCCTCTACCTCAGGGCCCTTCCGGTTCAGATCAGGCACAGATGTGTGAATGTCCTTCTGCCGAGCGTTCATCTTCACCCAAACATCCTGTGTCGGAATGGCCACTTTATTGTTAAAGAAATTGATCTTTTCCTTCACTCGCAATGCATAAGGATCCTCCACAGCGATGGAGGAAGGTCTGGGACTAATATCGTCTACTGTAGAGTAGTGGTTCTCTTCTCTGCGGTCCTCATTCTTGAAAGTGTTGTACCCCTCGTCATCATTGCTCCTCAGCGTGTCTGTCCCCGAATCCTCCGGAGGGAAATCCTCACTCAAATTGTAGTTCCTCTTAGGCAGGGGTGGTGGGGTGTCGTGCACCGCCGCTGTAGGGGTCTCTCGGGCAGTTTTTTGCTGCTGGAGGAGATTAGCGTTCGCGTAGAGCGAGTTTTCGATCAAGTTCACCTCGCTGTCGTTCATCGTGGTTAGTTCTTTCGACTTCCGGAACGAGCGCTTCCGGGAAAGATCGACCTGAGCGTAAAGCTCTTCTGTCTTGTTTTCTCTCTTCTGCCAAACTTCATTATTTTGCGGTGTACCGCTGGTTATACCACCACCCCTTTGCAAACTGAGGAAAAGCGCGGTGGGCGTCGATGTAGCGTAAGGCTTTAACTCGTCACTGCCGCTCGAGTCTCTCGCCTGGCTTGTGCTCTTTACGTCTTCTATGGAACTGTAAGCTGGGATCTGGTTCCCCCTCTGATACACAGCATACGGGTTGATTTCCGATTCGTCCAACGTTCCTTCAGACATTCGCTGAAACAGTTTTGGCGACCCTGTCTGTCTCTCACTGAGGCTTCGTCTTCTGTTAATCTCGTCTTCGACGTTCACGGGTTTCTTGCTAGGGGGTTCCGGCAGAGGGTCGTGCTTGCGGCGAATGGAATTTTGCAGCTGTTTCTGCGACTGCCGAAGTTGTTGCTCGTTAATAAACTTTTGATACGCCAACTCGCTGTCTCTTTTCTTCTCCCAGACTTGATTGAAGAACGCAGCAAACGCACCAACTACAGCAAAAAAGTAAACATATATAAAAATTTACGAATATCCTTGAGATTAAAGCACGCGTTTGTGAAAAACTTAACTTTTACGGGCTTTTTTGGGCAGATGTAAGTGTGTATTATATAATGTCAATGTTAATAATGTTAATTTTGTTATCTCAGGTAATTTTTGTTTTTCTTTTGTTTCAACTTCATTAGCATACAATACCATACCCCCTAAAAAAGAAAAACAAAAATTACCTGACACAAAAAATTAACTACAACATATATCTGAACATGAGGCTGGTTCCGCGAAGGCCAAGATGAAGTTTACTCTTTGTTCTAATTGGCTACCCGAGCGCGCGGGATGGGGTTACCTTGCCCGATCAGGAACGATCACTCTTTCTGGCAACAAAAGAGTACTTTTTTGGCCATATAAGTCCTAGTTCACTGATCAAGTTTTAACAAACAAACTTGGTCAAACACGCATAATTATGGTCACAAGGATAGCACTTTTTTACAACGCCCTATCTTAGAATTTTGATGCAACTCAGCAAACATGTACAAAATAGAAAGGAAAGAAAAAAGATACCCTGATGCTGGAATTGAGAAGAAGTTGTTTGAAATTTGGCAAAGAGTTTACTGGCAAGATTGGTGCCGTCAGCCAATAAGCTAGCCGCCACATGACTGTGGAACACAACACTGGCTCCAGACGCGCTCCCTGTTACAGCTAGCACCTGTATAGGTACTTGAGGAATGAACCTTGAGAAGCCACTGTAAGAAAAAAAATCAAAATTTGACAAAAAAATCAGTCACACAAGCAAAGAAACATTCTGATGAGCGGCTTCGATAGTTACATATCTACAGAACCAAGTATAATTAAAGGGTTCGTACTCTTAAAATTCCATGACTTTCCATAACTTTTTCAAAGACCTTTTCAAGTTTTCCGTGACCTTAGGTTTAGCTGTCACTTTCGGAAATTTTCAAAACCTTCCTAGTTTCAGGGTATTCTTTGACCTAACTCAGTTGAAAAGAAACGAACTCTGGCGTCCAGCAAAATGCGTGCTGCTTGCGCTGTTTAATAACTCGTCTCTATCTCACATTGTCCTTGCTTTGACATCTGCAGCAACTAACCTACAAAACATAACTAACATTTTCCCTGACTTTCCAGGACCAACAAGTAAATTCCATGACTTCCCAGGTCTGGAGAATTAATTCTTACATTTTATGACCTTCCAGGTTTTCAATGACCCGAACGAAAACTGCATTAATTTGTAGTCTCCGTGAAGAATGAGAAAAAAAAGAGGAAAATCTTCCACCTTCACAGTCCAGCAATTATGAATCCCTAAGAAATTTGTATTAAGGATGACTTCAGCCCCCGGGGGGGTACTTTAGGAATTTCTGGGTGGGGATGTGCCGCTGGGACCCTGGAACCCTTAACCTATACTAGAGGTAGTTCAGCTGAATTTTGCTACCCTATACTAGAGTAAACTCCCCAAATCCCCCTATTCCAGAGTAGCTGTTTACCTAGTCTAGATAAAATCTTCAACCACCTGATTAGTTTCCTGAAAAATGATACCCTATTCTAGACCCAAACGCTCTGATTTATATACCCTATCCTAGAGTAAACTGCTTGAAAACCATACCCTTCAAAGCGGCACATACCTATATAGCCCATATATGGCAGTACCCCCGGGCTTCAGCGTTCCTGAAAATTTTGGCAGTTATCTCAGCTCATGGCGGTGGATTACAAATGCTGTGGTACATTAGGAATGGAGAAGGGGGACGGGGGGAGGGGGGATTACCTGAGTGTTCCAAGTGATGCTTTCCGTATTGCTGAGTACACCAGGATGTAGCCATGGTACATTTGGTAATTAAGACTGTATGCTCCTAAAAAAGTTGACAATGGGTCAGTCCTCTATTCTATTCAACAATCCATTTTAATTTCAGTTGAAGCTCCATTCGCTACCACAAATCTCCTAAGCAACCACTTCCTATAAACAACCAACCATCCTAAACACCAAGCTTTTCCCAGTCAAGGCTTAATCATTGGATCCTCTGGTAAACGACCACGGCCACTTTTTAGGATGATGGTTTCACAATTTTCCATTGTTTTTAAGCTCTTCTAAACAACCACCAGATACAATGGTCTGGTCTTTGTGTTCGCTGTGTGTACTACGCTACCCTTTAAAACTAAAGTAGAGAAGCCTGGAGACCTTCTGCAGCAGTTTGACTCTCATAAGTGACCACTAACTCTTTGCATTTGAGTAGTCACTTACACATGTACATACCGGGGATAAAAGAGTAATAGATTACAAGACTCTAAAGACAAGGTAGTTGAACAGGTCACAAGTCTAAACTGTGGAATATGACAAGTAAAAAATACTAACAGACCCTGAAAGTTAAACATTGACAATGCAGAATGCCCAAATTAATGCATACCATTCATAATTTTCGTTAAAAGCAAACAGCACATCATAGAGAATTTAACCCTTTAAGACCCAATATCCACCTGTATACAAATTCTCCAAACTGATCTCTATACATTTCCTTAAAGAATGAGTTGAGAGAATTTGATAAAAGATCAAAGTATTTTCTCTTAGGTGATCATTTAATTAATACTCATGACCTCATCTCATGATAATGTATGGATGTCGTTAGGAGAAAATTGCTGTTGGTCACTATTGGGACTTAAAGGGTTAAGAGATCTCCCTTCTAACTCCTGCTACTTACGGTGATACGAGGTTAGTGTGATCTGAACCCTTCTCTTATCAAAGCCAAGGTATGTTTCCAAGATGATGGTGTCTGGCCTAGTTGAACTTCGCCAACAGTTTTGATGATGAAGCAGAGGACCAAGGATCAATTCAACTGGGTAAGGATCACCGCACATTGCACATAACATGATCCTAAAATAAAACAAAGAGAAAACAGCTGAGGAGGACCGTCATTCGGGTTACAAGAAACAAACAGATCAGTGACTAGCAGTAACAAACTCTTGTTTGAGCTTGCTAAAGCAAGCAATGTACAGAGTAGCTACATGCACATATGTGTACATTGTAAGCTTGGATGGGCAAAAAGTTTTTTTTTTTATCTGACCCTTGGTTGAAAAGTTAATATATTCTTTGGGCGCACTGGCAACCAATTTGTTGTCAGACTATGACCATCACCATTTCATGATTACACTTGGCTTAAGAACTGCCATTTGTAATCATTAAAGGGAACGTGTCACAGCAATTACAGCCAAGTCATGTACTTACTATAAAACTTAATGTTGGCAAAGAAATACCCACTTCACAGCTTCACTGCACAGAAAATCAATGTTTTTTTCTAGTCAATATTTTAAGTTATTTGTATTACGTTTCACACAATTTGGTCTAGCCATTTTCTTAAGTTGAATTTAAGCTGAAAGGCTATTACAGCTCCCCTAATATTTTTTTTGTAGTCAACAAGTTTTCTTACTTCAAGTCTGGATCACTGTCCTTTAAATCCTCTGTTGACATGTTTGCTCTGGCCTGTTGCTTCAAGTTCTCTAACAGTCCCCTCATGGCATCCACCACTTGAGTTTCATGAATCATCTTCCCAGCAGAAAAGCGCGCTACTGGGATGTCGATGAAGGTTGCATTGTACCTACAGTCATGATAACGGTGTAATATTACCGGTAATTACATACAAAAGAATAAAACAAGTTTTCTCCTAACAATATTGATACATTTATCATGGGAAAAGGTTATGAGAAGCAATAAGATGACTCCCAAAGGAAAATAATTATTGTGATATTTTATCAAATTCTCCAAAAAAAGTCTTTAAGGAAGTGTACAGAGATTAACCTGTAGAATCTGTATGTGAATGTTGCGGCTTCAACAGGGATGTCAGTAAGATTTCAAGTTGCCGGGTAAATACAACAATTAGGCAGGGAATCAAACAGCTAAGGATTTCTTTTGGTTTTATTTTTCTACGAAAGTAGCCAGGAGCCAGGCTCATCATTACCAGGGGAAATCCCCGCCCTCTGGCTCTTCATGACAGCCTGTTTCATGGATTAAGTAACAAAGGGTTTATTAAGCAGACCTTTTGATCAGGCAATATGCGATTTCTCCAGGGTAGTCTTTCTGTCATTAGATTCAGGAGAAGGGGCTCTACATTGTTTCCAAAGCATACTACAGTAACTTTAGACTGGCATTCATGCCTGTTATTTTTTAATTAGTGATGAGATACCTTTTGGACTACCCCTATGTGATTTGATGTGATTTAGGTCAATTGTGTAAATTTATCTACCACATAATAATATGAGAAGGCCTTTCCTAGATATATGGTATGTATAGCAGCAAGTCCCTATATGTATTCTTCCAACCCATCCTCTGCTAAGCTTCTCCAGTAAAAGATTATTGTGGAATTTATGAAGTTTCCAGTAAGTAGAAAGAAACAAAAATACCGGTATATACAGATAATTATATACATTGTAATAATATTTTCAAGGAAATCTTAGTCATCTGTAATATTAAATTCCACAGAGTTTTAATACATTTCAGGAGTAGTGTTAACCAAGAGTTTCTCCACATAAGGCTGCAAAAGTACTACTTTACTCACAGCAAATAACACCACTAAAACAACTAAACAAAAAACAGAACTTAGGTCGAATGCTGTATGGTAAAAATCTTAGCAATACTGGCCACCCATACCTGGAACACAATTCCTGTCCTTCTTTTCTCAGGTGATGAATAATACCTTCATTATTTGGACTTCTGGCCAGGATGATGAACGTTGGAGGGAGTATCAGAATGGGGTTTGACTCATCAACACTGTCATACTTTGATTTGACGCTCAACTCATCCAAACAATCTCGAACAAAATCCAATGACTCCAGAGATCCATAAACACAGAAGCAACCCACTGTATGAACATCAAAATGGTACCATTAAAATTATCCTGTGGTTCGAATTTTAGATTAAGTTGACGTTTTTTTTTTTCATTTTAATAACTTTCTTATAAGACACAATTCAAAGTCAAGGGCACAGTTTACAAACTGTACATATTACATGAGCTTTTTACAGTCTTTTGAAGCTCTCTTAACAGTCAGACATGTACTCATAAGCAGCCAGCTTCAGTTGAAGACATGTTGTCTGCTTCTTATGGGTGTCTGCTTAAAGGAGCTACAATCAAACCTGTATCAAGTGAACCACTATTAAACAGCCATCCTCTACTAGGCAGTCACTCACCAAAGTCCTGGATATCATTAATTTTCCCTAACTATAGTAAAACGATTTGCATTAACCCATTCGCTCCTGGAGATTTTGCCCAAAAACGCGTTTTGAAGCTAGTCGAGTGGTGTTCTGGTCACTGTCGTGCTATAAAGAGCTAAAACTTACCACAAACCGGTTTACAGGTTGTACACTTGGCAGCCTTCTGATCCAGATGCAAAATATCAGCTTTATTCGGCATCATGAACAGCCAAATTTCGACATAGTTTTTGGGTTTAAAAGTGACACAGCAGTCTTGACTTTTACTTTTCACTTTCTCTCCTCCCTTCTTTTTTCGCTTTTTCTTGCCTTTTTTTTTTTTCTTGCTGGGCATTTAGTAGGCTTCATTTTGGTGGGAAGAGTTTTTTAGGAAAGCTTTTAGGATCTTAGGATTAGGTGAAAGGAAAGGTAGGTGGGTAATGGAACAAGATTTTCATGGAGATTTTCAGGTCCTTGTCACGTGGTTTTTGCTTCTTTCTCCGGTGTCCTTGACTGAATTGTGCTCATTCTGGTATGGTTTGAAAGATCTCTTCACTCTGCACAACCACTATTAAACAGTTGTCCTTGACCGTTAAAACTCATGACGCACAAAAGGGTAGGATATCCTGGATCCGCCCTTAATTACGGGCAAAACAAATTTGAATGGGTTGAGCTGTAAACTCTACTAAGCTGCCAGTAAGAAATTCGCAAAGCGTGAACCCTTAATACAGGTCTGACTGTATGTTGCAAGAACATCTATTGATGTTTTAGGTCAATTCCGTGCTAATGTCATTACTTAGTGCTGTTTGTTACATGTACCCATAAACAAAATGCTCCTGTACAGTCATGAAGAGGGTATCACACAATTTCATCAGGGAGCACTAACCACAATAATTTTTAATCTATTTTTTGAGGTAGCGCATTAAAGCTTTTTTCATGTTCAAATCCATGTCCATCCGTAACCACAGACAACAGGAAAGAGCTTCTGTGCTTAAATATGCACATAGTCTCAAATAACAAAGCTGGGCCATTATGTTTGGAGTTTTTGGAGACAAGAAGACATGTCATGTCTCTTTAAAAGATAGCAAATAGTATGACATAATTAAGGGAACTTCACCATTACATGTACTTGTGTCTTCAAAGAGAACATTGTCAAGCAATATCAGAATAAGATAATATTTTGAGCTTGATAAAATAATAACATTGACAAGTAAATTTCAAGCACACTGGTGAAATTTGAACTTGTTGGGTTACAAAAAGAAAATTTTGAGCTTCTTCAAACCTGAGAATTTGTTTTGTCTTTTATAGCATTGTCTCACAAAGGAAAGTTGTCATAGTAAATAATAAAAGAAAAAATCTTTTCCTGTCTGATGGGTCCTAGCTGACGCAAATACACGTCAGTGCTGATGCTAGATGCATCTGACAAGAAGCAAACATGCATCTGAATTGTGACTGACTGTGTGGTTCCCTTAACTGTGTTCTGCTCTGTACCTTGTGAAGTCATGTCAGTCCCTTGAAAGGCATATTCTGGCAGATCAACATCACCATCAACAATCTGATAATCCAGTTCATACATGCGCCCATCAAGAGCAAACTCCAAACCATCGGTGTCTCCATAGGAACACTGGGTCTGCAACATTTTTACAGACATGTCAATTACCAAACTGACTACACATGTCAATTAGATTTTATTTTTGAGTACTATTGTGTACTATTGTGTACTTGTGAGATTCAGGCATTCAAATGCTATTATTTTTTTCAGCACTAATATGGGCCATTATAAAAGGACATTTTACAGTTATGGATGGAAGTGAGCCTGACGGTGACCTTGTTTTGGTACAAACCTTTCTGCTCTATTATGTAAATCAAGTTATTATTATTCTAACTTGTACTTTTCAGTGACAATTTCCATAACAAAGCAAAGGAGGTTTGTATCAAAACAAGGTCACCGTCAGCCTCACATTCACTGGAAGGCTAGGGTACAAAGTTTACAACTGTAAAATGGTCTATTGTGTGCTTAACACCCTGGGCTTTGAACAGAAGCAAGGCTAAAGGTGACCTTGTTTTGTGACAAACCTTCAGACTTTTCACTGATGATGTTTTAAACATACGTCTTGGTTTTTACACATATTCTTTGAATTTACATGTACCTAATGCTCATAATACGCACCCTAATTTCACTCTCCATTGCTTGAGCAAAGCCAGCACTTCCCAAAATCACCAAATTTATTTGGCTGTCATCACTGTCAAGTGTTTCACTGCTATCCATAAAATGAGGTCTGTAAAAGATAAATCCAAGACAGTTTATCTTCAATTCAAATCCTAAACAATGATCAGCATCAAATTTCTTCCTTTTTTAATACACAATAAACAAGAGGTCATAAGTTTTAAGAATATAATCAGTCAGGATACATTAACTTCATGACATCACATGTACTAAGCCACTTCATGTACACGCAGCCACTACTTTGAAAGGAAGAATTTTGATTGAAACCTGACAAAAGAAAATGTAAATCTAACCAAAGGAGAAAAAATAAATGGTGATCAAGGGAAAAAAAGATCTTTTAAGTGACATATTTGTTCAAAGATGACACTCGCTGTTCTGTTCACACGTCATAGTTTGGGTGAGTGTCTAAATGGAGCTGCAAATAACAGTGCATTATCAGACAATGTTTGGCCAAATTCTCCCAGCAGTTAGACACGAGGACCAGACAGCTCGAAAAACCAGAGTAATTATATCATTTTGTACCTGAGGATTAACATTCTACACATGTAATAAAGAAATGCATTTGTCAACATAATGTAAATGTAAATCTGGCACTTTTCTGATTTGTCATTTAAATGGTGATGTGTTTGGACATAAATCATGTCCTTTCTAAAAAGAAACATTATTCCGCATAAATGGGACTCGGCAGCCTGTTGGCCTCTGCAGTTTATATGCTGACATTGAAGCTCATTGTTAAATATATAATGCGAAGAGGAAACTGTTACTCTCTCATCCAAGACACCATGTTACACTATAACAAGAGTTGGGACAATGAAATGTGATGGAAAACAAATTTATCTGTGAGTCTGCAATAGCATGAGTCCATAGTTAAGCTATGATAAAAAAGGCATAAAAAACGTGCAACTTGTTCAGCAATATTGCTGCAAAACTAGCTAAAAATCAATGCTGTGTGTTTTATTAACCTGTCTTGCAACAAATCAGGTTGTTACAAGTTGCATGAATACTGACTTCTGATTGGATAAAATTACACAGAGTCACACTAAACATGGGAGTTATGCCACTTGTTGCAAAAGAAGTTTGCCTTGGGCCAGTAAAATGTGCTTTATCTACATAGTACGTGAACATATTTTAATGTAGAGAGTTGAGCTACTCTCTACTTTACAGGGTTCATACAAAAAATTGCTACCATTTCTTATGGACTTTTCATGGAGCAAATTTGATTTACAAGGACTACCTACCGTGAATATAAGTCACAGATTTGTACATAAATGCACATTCCCAGTCGAGGCTAACAGCCAAAAAGCATTAAAAAACACTTTCCAGGCCACTACATTCAAAGTTGAGGACAACTCGAGGACTTTTCAAGGACTAGCACAGAAATTTGAGGACTTTTCAAGGAAAAACGGAATTCAAGGACTTTTTAAGGACCACATTCGACTTTCAAGGACTTTTCAAGACTTGGGGAACCCTACTTTAGGCACAACCTTACGGGTTTGTTTTGTGAGTGGTAAAATGTGCAACATCGCTTGTCTAGCAGCAATGTTGCAAAAAAAGTTGGACACCTTTGTTCCCTGTTTTACCATAGTATTATGGGAGTTTTTTTTCAGTCAAATGCGAGTAACATAGAATTTAGTTGCCGTTCAGTAGAACCTCAATATAATAAAGGACCAAGGGACTCGCAAAATATGCTCGCTATAAAAAGGTTTCATTGTATTGTTTTTTTTTTCCATACATTTTAGATCCTAGGGTGAAGAATATCATTTGTTTTACCAAGGACTTTGTTATACAGAGATTAATTAAGTCAACATTCCGTTGCACATGGAATTACTTGTTTTCCATAACAGAAAGGTCTCTGTTAAGGCAAGAGCTGACGTCACAGGGCTGAAGGGTGTTAAAAGTACTGTGATCCTTAAAATTTTGGCAGAAAATAATTTGTCACTGTTATTCATATATTGTTTTCAATGGATCAATCTAAACACATTAATTAAAATGAGTTACAATATTATTGAAAATATTATCCTTCTACATACAGTCATTGAAGTTCTCTTAAGCAAACAGTGCTGCTTTCTGCCCCCTTGATAAAGCCAGTTAATAGCACCATTCCCAAAAGAGGAAAGCCCTAATTTAGACAATAATATTTTCAGTTTTTCAAAGGTGTCCAATATTATAAGAGCGCCCACTTTTCCGCTAAGAAATTGAGTTCATAACTAAAAATATCCAGAAGCTGAATTTTTGAAAAAAAAAAAAACACCCAACTGGTCAAAATTCTACTTTCACCCTGAGGAACAACAAGCGGCATAAACCACTTTTCATGCAGTTCACTTTTGTTCAAAGTAATGGTCAGGTGTAGAATCTAATTCTTATTTATGAGTTAATTCAAAATTTGCCTTCTGCTCACTTATCACTGACAAAGCATGACAATAACTCCCCTAAATTGTCGTAAATAATACAAACTTTTAACACTATAGACTGGACAGCTTTTAATGAACTGAAATGAGTGAGAACAATAATATTTCGATATCCATACTTTTGGCAACTAATAAGAAATTTTTAACCATTCTACTTTCAAGGTCTACAAATACTACTAATTAAAAAAGTAAGAATATGTTTGAGTAGCAAAAAAAAAAGTACACTGTTGATGAGAAAAAAAGAAAATCACACAGCAATTATTCAATTTTTGGCTCGAAACTCTGTCACTTATAATTAAAATTAACTGTCTGAGACCGAAGCATATGTCTTTAACAGGTAAAAATCCTCTTAAAAATTAAATCCCCAAGGAAAACAGAAATTTTCAAAAGTACATGATAAACATTTTTTATCCAAAAGAGTACAACAGAGGTTAAAGGAATCAACTGAACAGCTGCTATCTTGTCATATAAAGACAGATGTTCCGCATGAAAAATCTTGACTAAGAAGAAATATGTACATATCATTTTAGATTTCCAAAACATCGCTTTGACTCCTACAGAAGTGTGTTAAAAAAAGAATTTAAAACAAAGAAATGTAATTATTACATTTCTTTCTTTCACTGGAATGTAACAGCCACAGCCAAAACATGTGCAAATATTTTGAAACTAGAACCGGCAAATAAAGTAAAGAACTGGACATTTCTGTGTACTTACGGAAAATTTCAATCATGTTGAGAACGTTGAACTTGCATAAAATAATAGGAATACAGTATGGTGAAGGAGGCGACTCGATTATCATTAAAACACAAAGTTTTGGTCGCGTTAAGCTTATAAAACATCTAGTGAACGATTTTACGTTCATTTGTTATTTCTACTGAGTGAAAAATTGATTATGAGCTAATAAGGTCACTGAAAATTGTATGGGTTGTAAGTTAAATAAGATGTCATATGGTAGATTACCTGTATGTGGTCGTGGCGACTATCTCCTGCATGAGACGATCTCGACACCTCTCCGCACCACTCAGACATCGTGTTGGGCTGTACAACAGAGCAATGTGATTTATCAAGCCGATTTCCCGATCGCTATCGAGCTTGTCGAGCCGTTTGTAGCGATCGTCTTCGCTCAGGGCGTCTTTGATCAAGCGCATGTCTTCCTGAGAGATAGAAGGGCGCGTATTAGGTTCCAGTTTTGAAAACAACCCCGCTGATTCAAACAACAACTCCTGAAAATCGGCTTTAGCTTTCTCGGTTATGTCACGACGATAGGTGTCGAAAATTGTTGTTTTGTCCGCGTCGTTTAGGTACTGAAAACTTTCCTCGTTTTGAAGCAGCACGGCTGCCTCGACCCATATCGTACCGGGCCTAATCTTAGGAGTTAGCTCCAAAAGTTTTCTGAACTCATTCATCATTCGTATGCGTTTTTCCTCAGCTTTTAACTTTACTACATGATTCTGAAACACCGTTTCTGCTTGCGGCAAAGCGAGAATATCAAAAGGTACACGTAGATCGTCGGTAAGCAAGTGATCGCTTTCATTCCAAGCAGTGTCTTCGGGCAGAATGATCATCCATTTTACAAACTCTTTGTGGTTCCGAATTGCCTTTTGACAATTTTGCCAGTTCCACTGACAAAGATCCATCGACGAAGCACTCGGCATAAGCTCTTCCAGAGCGCTAGGAAGCCTAGACAAGTAGCCATTCAACTTTCTTTCTTCGAACTCTTTCCTCAGTTTTCTTATGTGCTTATTGAAGAGTCTCTTGCACGCTTCGAGCCCGCATAGATCGCGGTGAATTTGAAATTCCCTTTCATTCTCGATCAGTTTTTTCGTGTTTTTCCAGATCACACGAAAGTCAGTCACTGTCCTATCTATGAGCCTTTGAAAGTCCTGTACAGCTTTGCCTAAAATGTCTCTCTGCGTTTTCTGAGCTTCAGTAAAAGGAATTATTTTTGAACGAACCCTTCCCCGCTCGACGAGTTGGGCCAAAACTATAAACGCGAGGTCAACATTTACGTTCTCGTGAGAAGAGGTCTCGATGATAGGAACGTTCAACTTTTTCGACTGAGCGAAACGATGTACCTCCTGCAATAGGTTAAGCTGTGTATCGTCACATTTCGTAGCCACAAGAACGAATGGTTTCTTGCTCTTCTGTACGTATGTGAGAATCAAAGACAGCAGTCTCTCTTGTTGCTCTTCAAGCCGTTTGGATTGAGTCGCTTCGGCATCATAAACTACGATGAATCCATCGACAGTTACCTTTCCGCCAGGTAAACAGACTTGCTCGTAGTCATTCTGCAAAGCTACTTGATCTCGGCTAATATACATCAGTTTTTCTGCAGACGAAAGTTTTGAAATCGCACATCGCTTTTGATACGGTGCAAGTCCACCTCGAGATAAAGGCATGAGTGTTGCATCGTCGATAAATTCAGTCTGCTCTAACACATGAATTCGAAATTCACTCCCGTCTTCTGCTGTCTTTGAAGCAGAACCCCAGTACAAGAAGTGATCGTTATTCAATACCCTGCCACCAAAATCAGAAGAACTGAACACCGAGGAGTGTTCAGTAATGTATTCGTCGGCCAACGGCCGCACAAACCGATTACACAAACACGACTTTCCAACGCCATAAAAAGCTTGATCTCTGTCTAATCCAGACAAACCAACAACGGCGACATTTACGCTTTTGGGTTCGCTCCCTTTCTTGGACATAACGATGCCCGAAAACCGATGCAAGAATCTTACTTGTCTCAATCCGCTATCGCCAAACAATCGCCGCCATTTTCAATTTTTTTGTTTAAGGGTCGGTAGTCACGTGACCGATCTGAAATGTGAAGCCTCTTGTAAAAATACAGATGAGCTCACAAGCTTCAAGACGCGCGGTAAGCGAAATATAGCCTCGAGCAAGTCATTTACCCGATAAAAAAAACCGCCAACGTAAACTGCACTGATGTGAGGACTGACAAAACATATACTTCAAATGAGTATCAATGGTCTGTTTTGTGATGATTCTGACCGGAAGTTTACAAAAACGTGGGGCATTCTGCGAGGGGGCGCGGAGCAAAAAAAACCGGAAGAAGGGTTTATTTAGTGCAAACCACGCGATTTTTCGGTGCTAGAAAAACAACCTGAAAGCTTTTCGGAATATTGGACTTTGTTGCAATCTCAGTAGGATGAATTGGTTTCTCTCGCTTAATTGGAAAACATCACGGATATTTTAATTTTCAGGTTTTCTCTAAAAACCGTTTCGGTCAGTTTTAAATATAGTATTGACACGGTGTGTACATTCGATGAAATCTTTTCAAGCGAAGGAATTTTACGCACTTTGGCAACATGCATTATTTTTTTGACAGCCATAGACTGGCTTCCCGGCAGGCTGTTTCTTGCCAGACAATGGTGATTGTTCATTGGTGTATCACATAATGTTATACAAGTGATTTATAATAATAATATTTAAAGACGTCTTACGTTATAATTTTGTTCTGCACAGTCGTCTTTTCAGGGTTAAAAAAATATATACATCATTGAGAAGGCTTTATTCATATAAACCGGAAGATTCGATAGGACTGAGAACATATTTAAACCTCGAATACGTCATTAAGTTGAAATGTTGTTATTATTACTTGTCTCATTATCGAAGCGCCAATATAAATATGTAAATGACATTCAATAAACGTTACCATTTAGTCAAGGAGCTGTTTAAAAATAGTTCTAAATTAACACGAAACTGACTCTCCTACAAAATGGATCGTGAACCCTTACTGACTAAATTCTTTCTGTACAATTTATTGTTGATTAAAGGTGATAAAACTAACAACTCGATATCCCTGAAATTCTCAAATGAGCGACTGAAATAACTAAAAGCGGATAAAAATAACATTGGTGATTTGACATTAATGAGGATATTTAGCTTATCCAATATCATTGTTACTTTAAAGTATACTGTTTTTGAAATGAGAAACTCAGCGCCCTTTTGTCATGTTTTGTTCCATTACAAGAACAACAGAGGCCATAAAATTGCCCTTTTTTCTCAGATATGGTTTAGATCTTTGCCCATGTATTTTTACTTGACGCTCGAAATTTATTAATTTGAGGTTTAGAACAGGCGAGGGCTTGCAAGGAACGAACGTGATCACACGTTTTAACTGAAATCCTTGGTATTCTTAATGACTCACCAAAATAATACGTAAGTTACTTCTTTTAATAGCAGTATGAGTAAACGCACTTTCCGAGTTTCTAGAGAGTCTTTTTTCCCTAACATGAGGTCGAATCATTGAATACAACTGACACACCCAGCGTGGCACTGAGGCGTGCCACGAAATTAAAAGGCGAGATGGGTCAAAAAGGAGGGGAGGCGCGCGAAAGTCAAGTCCAACGTCGAACTAATGAAATAGCCTGATCTGAGCTGCAGCCATCCAGCCTTGTCACTCGAGACTTAATAAGACAGAGTACTCCAGGGGATTTAGTCTGTCTGCGACGCTAGTTTGCTGCATGTAATTTGTCCCGGGCACGAAATGATCTTTGCCCGACTCAGACAGACGAATCCAATACGGGTGTTATGAAAACGTAAGCTGATTCAAGGTATCCAATAACGATAATGCTTCGTAGGCGAATACTATCTCAATTCTTCATTTCAACTGGCGCATGGAACTGTCCAACAGGCTATAAAACGTGCATGATCTTGAAATTCGAACACGTCTTGTGGAATTCATACTGGTAGACGAGCAAGTTGATGGCGGCGTCAGCCTACATTAGGGAAATGCTAAATCTCTTTATAAGAAATAGCGATTTTCTCAAAAAAAAAAAAATGATACGTAAATAAAATAAACAAATTGTTTAATCGAACAACTATTTTTTAAAAGCAATCGCTGGACCATCTCCGGTCCGATACCTGCGGCACAGCTCTCGCACCTAAATAATCAGAATAAAACAAAAATATACAGGATACAAATGATTGGCCGAGGGTCTCTTGCGGTCAACTGCATGGACAACTTGACGGAGAATTTTTAGCACGATATGATCAGATAGTATTCCGCAGTTTTAACCTTTTTAAAAGTTTTATGGTTAATCATAAACCCTTTTTCTTTCATCATCTCTATAAATAGGATATTTTTCTTTTTTCCATCTCTCTATCAGATTCATTAAAATAGTTCAACTTCGCCAATAGGCTTTGGGGAGTGTGTTATGACTGTTAATGGTCGTAATGGCCTAATATGACCTCTAATGTAAAGCACGATTCGTGCGTCGTCAGTGGAAATTTGCGCTATTTCTTTTCATGAGTCCCTAACCTAAAATACACGGGGAGATGTGACGTTAGGAGAAAACCATTCGTCTAGTAGGCATTTTTTTTTTTCGATTAATGGGGGGAAATGATTTTTTGCTAACTGAAGTAGTGGGTGGGATGGTAAGTGAATAAGTTAGCGGTTGGCAAACCTTAATTTCAATAGGAAAAGTTTCACCCGGGATCTGATTATTTTGTGGATCTGGCTCTGGCTCCAGTTGTTTAAAGGGTGGATAGCGCTCAGTATCCTTTGGATAAATCACTATGCAGTGGATAAAGCAATTGGTTTTCGTCAGTACTAGTTATCCGCTGGATAGTGATTTATCAGGTGGATATATAGCCCTATCCAACTTTTGAACAACCGGGGCCTAGAGAATAATTGATCTCATTTGCACTGAATATTATGAATCTCGGGATTCATTATCAGCCGCACACCGTTAACACAAAAACATTACTGAAGTGCGAAAGAAAAACACAAGAGCAAACCCCCGTTCACTTAACAGTTTTATCCCTTAGCTAAACAAGGCTTTAGGTCGATAAAGATAAATTCCATTTTATGTCATTCCATTATGTGTACCATAGAACACTTTCGAGTGTTTGTTTTGATAATTCCCCGCCTGAAAAGTAAAGTGTAATACTTCGTCTTCATCACATGGATGTCCATAACGCCTGGTGCCTCGTCACCTTTTCATTCCGTTAATCTAAAACCGTCTCTATTTCTGCTAATCTTAAACGGCCTTTGTTCGGAGAGTAAATATGGCGTCTAATTAAGAGCGCTCAGTGCAGTGGGAATATGTCATTACGAATTTCGTTTGAACTTGTCTTATCAGCTCGTAGTTAAAAAGATCAAAACATGGACTGGGCGTTTCGTCGCCAAAGAAAATCATGAAATCAAAAGATAGAAAAAGTATCGTCCGATTGTCAAATCGGCAGCCCAGTGTCTATTATACCTCAAGCTACAGAAGATTACTAATCATTATTTTTTTTTACAGCCAAGAATGTGCTGAGTGTTCGCTAAACCAACCAACCAAACTTAGTCTGATCGTTTGTTGTTTGAACTGTGTTCCTGCGTGAGTATCATTTTAAATCAAGGTCGAACGATAATAATAAATCTCGTGATTACGCAGAGGCTTTGCTACCTTCCTTATACCGCTGGTCAAATTTGACCGGATTCTCTCCAAGTACTCGGTGCCAGATTATCGTATTTAACCCATTGTTCTATCCACTCTATCTTAAACAAACGGATGCAGTATAAAACTATTAACAGCCAAATTGCTGAGGATAACCAGCAATAAGCCATCCAAAATAACAACGACTACAGCAACTTCTGATCCCAGGTAAATCCGGGAAGTAGCCAGTAACAATAACGTGAAGCTTATGTAATCGGATTGCGCTCTTTTGTGTGTCTCAACCCCTTGAGAGTGTTTCCTTCCTTTTTGTGCTCGAAAATGCCGGGAAAATTTGTCTACCCGGGCAGAGTTGTTAGTAGTCTGCTACACAGCCGAGTTTAGTGTCGTCGCGTAACGCTCGTCTGCAGGGCATGAGTTGTCATGGCAACTTTTTTGTAGGTCCTTCGACAAACTCGTCCCCAGGACTAAGGCAAAAGCCCTGGGAACGAGATTGGACGCTCGAACAACTCGGACAGATTTAAAAATGACACCAGTGAACGCACAAAACGTTCTTTTGATGCGACCCGCACGTATAACACGAGCTTTTTACTATAATAAGCAAGTAGCGGTATAAAGTTGGTACAGCATTATTTTATTTTAAAAAAATTCAACGTTTCTTTTTTTTTGGTTTTTGTGTATTTGAAAAAAATTGTTACTGTATCAAAACTAAATCTTAGTATAAGATAAACGCTTTTCTCTCAAGTCAGTAGGCAATGTGCGGGGTTTCACAATAATAAAATATAACATCTGATATAACATCCACACCATTGCACACCAATCATCGTAAAATAGTTACTGCAGGCGGCCTACACGACGAGTTCTATCCTCGCTCTCTGACAGGTCTGTATGTCTTCTTTTTATACCCTCGTTTCCATACAAAATGATTTGAACCCAGCAGTCATGTCTCAGTAGGTAAAATATGATCGTCCGAGTGACTGAGAATCAAAGTGAGTTTTGTACCGTTCGTTGACTTGACCATTCAGATCAATAACCCAGTAGAGTAAAATACAATCAGCTGACGATACACAAAAGCTTTGAATATGATGACGATGCTACCAAACAGATCGTCGAAATGTCTGTCGCTGTAAGCAACGGTCCTATTCAGAACTACGCTCCTGAGACGATCATATTCTATCAACTTATGTTCGCAATTGTCAGGCGCACAGGACAACCACGCCTTTTGCACTAAGAAGTTTCACAAGAAAGCTTTCTCTTTCTGAACCAGTGACCAGAGGGCCATAGGTTCGACCCCTGACGGGAGAAATCGGATTTTTTTTTTCGACAGCAGTGTCACTGAAGCAGACAAAATGCCAGAGCGCAATAGCAAAACTCTCTTGCGTCACTTAAAAAGTCCTAAACATCGTTTACTCTCTGCCCGACTTTTCTTTTCCACGCCACTTGAGCTGTTCGAGTAAGTCCTCCGTTACTTTCTTTCCTTTCCTTATGACAGCCTTCGGAATTATCTTCACCACAGCTTCTACCTATAAACAAAAATATTCCGTAAATATAGGTTTAAACCCTGCGCAGGTCACCTTACGCCCCGTGCAAACGGACGCAACGTTGTTGGATGGTACATGTTGCGTCCGTTTGCACACTCTGTTACATGTTGTTAAGCAAAGTTTGAAAACGGTCAACCTTTTATCTACGTGCAAACGGACGCAACAACTCCCAACAATGTTGCGTCAGTTTGCACGGGGCTTTAAACGATGCGAGACTAAAATTAGGCAGCTTTTGCGTCGGCAACGGCAGCGAGAACCTCACTTTGAAAAAATGAATTCGCGTTTCAGCTTTCAAACTTTATCGCGTTTATTCTAGGTTACTGAAAATGTCAAATGTAGGCGAATTTCCCTTGAGTTGATTTCTTGGACACTGCACCCAATTTTAGAAATAAAAAGAAAAAATTGTCCTCTCTTGTTTACGTCCTCCATAAAATTTCACGTCGTATACGTGCAGTGACAGCAAAGAAATGCACAAAAAAGTGTGATGCACGTGCAAAGTTGCATTTTCACCTATTGAAATTATTTAGCTTTTTTGATGTTCTCGCTACTGACATGAAAGTGGTCGAACCAACAAAAAAGGGACACCAAAGCGACAAACCCAAATATGACATGCACAAAGAGACATACGAGGAAACTATATAAAAATTAATTATCGCAAATTTCTCTGTCACGTCTTCAATGGTTCTTCCTTGTGGTTTTCAGTCTAATTGTTTTAAAAGTTTAAGGCCAATAATTTTCCCATGCATTTCACTTAAAGCCGGAAACAATGAAAAATGTTTATCCACCTTTAAATCCTTGTATTTAAGCACGAAAACAAAATGCCTTGTACCGCGACCATCATTTTTTTTAAATGAAATTTGTTTCTTAACCTGCAGGTCTGTACAATTTAAGACAAAACTTCTGACAAATTGGATTTTCGAGGGTTACAAATTATTCAGCGTTTTGTCGTTTCGTGCTAGTTTCCCGGTAAATACGATTACTTTACTACGATATTTGTTAAGAGCATCATCTCCCAACCAATGGTGGTAACAACTTCCGATTATCCCTGCATGTTAGCCGGAAACAGGAAGAGCGGTTATATATTTTATGATTCCACATTTAGGGCCTGTTCATATGAGGTGAGCCAGCCCGGTATAGCCGGGCTGGCCCGTGGCTCGGCTCACGCCTTGTTTTATCTTAATTTTGTCGTTCTGTTTATATGAGAAGGCGGGCTGGTCCGCTCGCCGAGAGCCCGGTTGCTCGAGCCGAGATCTCGATAAAAAAAAACAAACAAACAAACCAAAACGACTGTTTTGCGGTGGTTGACAACGTGCTCACCTGTTCTTTGGCGGATAAACTGTTAAAATTTCTTGGAAGTTTTCTTGGATCGACTTCTCCAGCTTTATATATCTCCTCCAGTATCAGCCTAATTAGATAACAGTGAAATGTGTGAAACCTCAGGGCGATACAACAAATAAAATTGTGAGGTCCCCACATACATGCCCTCTTCATTTAGCAAAAAAAGGCGTCATCACTCTATCTTTTGAGTCAGCTTCTCGCGACAGGCCATTAAAAAAAGTTCAAACTTTTTCTTTGCAGATTCCCCACAGCCAACTATGCGGACCTGCAACACAGTTCAAGTCTTTGGGCAAGCATTGAGGATCCTTATTTATATTCGGTTTTTCATTCCTATCAGTTATGTCATTGCAAGTGCAACGCATCTCAAAAGGACTTTGGGTTCACCGTTTATCCTCTCAGTTGTTCAACGACGAAAAAGATGAAGTAATCTGGGTTGTGAGAGGTGGGTCGAATATGTTGGAACTGCAAAGATGTTCCTTTTGATATTTAGAACAGGAAAGTGACTGATTTAAGTGTTACGTTAAAAGTTGCACTGATGTCAGCTCACTGGCAATAGCGTAAAATGCTAAGTGGCCTACTTGTAATTTTGTGAATTCCATACTTGGCTGCTGATGGCCATGGTTTCTACAGGATTATATGCCTGTGAAAGAAGAAAAACCATTAAGGTTGAAGAACAGATGTATAAAAAGACTATAAAACCAGCATTTTCGAAAACATGACAGACCAAGGAGAAAAAGAGTGCAGTACACCAAGAAAACCCAAGAATTGTATTGTATTGTATTGTACAAGAATTGTATATCTCAGCAGCAACACTTTCCTTAGCCTGCGTGGCAGGCACAAAAAAGGAAGGGGAGGGGAGGGGAGGGGGAGAAAAGCGCAAAAGGGAAAAGGGAAAGAGAGCCTTTCCTTCTCTCATCAATAAACTCTTTCACTCCTCCCTCAGTTTGACCGACGACGCCTGCCACATACTTTCCCCGTCTGTTTAAAAAACGTGCTACCAATTTCAATTGCCAGAAGAGGCAAAAACTAAGTTTTACATCTTAAAAACACAAGTTCCGCGGGTAACACAACCCTACGAACAACTAACATTGACATAATTACAGGACAGCTGAAAATACATTCCATTATTTTAAACGTTTACCAAAACAAATTATGAAGGATTGGCAACACTGTACTTTCAACAACCTAAATTAAAGGTTAAAAAAATGGATTGCGACCACCAACTGAAACCAACGTTCCAATTTGTGGGTACAGTCGCATAGTTTTGTGGCAATGGAGAAAGTGTGCGATACTTCACACGGTTGTAATTTGAAATGAGACAAGAAGCTGGTGATAAAACGCTTTGTCTTTGCGCGACAGAGAAAATGGCCGCCATTCTAGCTTTTTCCAGGCGTTTAGATAGAGGAGAGTGAGCGAAAAATAGAGAACAGGCGAGAAAAGGGGAAGAAAGGGAGTGGAAGAAATGAGGGAGCCTACTTACCCCACCCCCTCGCTGTTTTTTTCCTGGTCACTGTTATTTGTGCTGTCTCCACTATCAGAACACCTGAAACAGGCTACTACCAGTCTTGACTTTGTCCCACAAAATTAAGAAGAGGTTTGTCGACCACGATAATTTTTACCTGATGAAACCAGCCCGTGGGAATGATTAAGATTTCCCCAGCCTCCTGAGTAAAGGTAATAGCTCTGGCTTTTTTAAACTGTGGGTACAGTTTGTAGTCACGAACATAAGTATCTATGGGACTTTAAAACATACACTGTTACAAAGGATGAAACCACAAAAAGATTTAATTAATTCAATTCAATTAATTCCTCTACCACCATAGCTGCATCCCAGTTGAAATCAAACCATTACTACCACCCCCAGCCCACGAAAAGTTGACAATACCACCCGGGGTATAAATCCCCTACCCTTTTAAAACAGCAACGTAAGTTCTTTTACATCCTGTATAGTTTTTCGTCCTGTTTACAAAGGCTAAAAGTTCTAGCATTTGCAGAAGTAAAACAAAGGCTGTACCATGTACCTGTTGTATTTCATACAGTCTAAAGGAAAACCAGATCTTTGATTTCCTCGGACATACAGTAAGTGATCTTGGCCAGGAGGATAAAGCTAAAAGAAACAATAACACAATCAACCATAGTTATTGCAGACACCAACACGACTGCGAATGGCAAAAGTCTGTAAGAAAGGGAGGAAGGAGAATTTAAGCAAAAGAATCAGGGAGGAAAGGCAGCCTTCTGGACACTGGAACAAAAGCCTGCATAGAGCTTGAGTTATAATCAACAGTTTGGGTGGTTTCGGTTCTTTGAGGCCATACAGTGCCCAGAAAACAACTTGACCAGCTTCTAATGGCATTTTTCAGCAAAATCTCTGGGACTACTGAGTTAACAATGGTAAAACAGGATGCTTTCACGCATGTATACTGATACCTTGCACCCTTCCCTCACCCCCCCACTGTCCCCGTCTGCCACTAGCAAGACAATCAGAAATATTAAGATATGAATATGCATGAACCCTGAAGTGGAATTGATTAAAGGGTGGACTTGGGGCTTGAACTTAAAAACATTTTCATGGATATGTCGCAGGTCAAAATTAAATTCGGGTTAAACTTTTTAACCTAGGCTGATTCTTAATTTCGTTTGTCTCCTACGCCTTAAATAATTCATGAATTAGGGCTGGGATATAAAGAAAATAGAGAATCAGCCTGGGTTAAGAAAATTTAACCTAAATTAAACTTTGACCTGGAACAGATTATGTGGAAAAGTTCATAACATAATTCTGCTATAAGTAAAGCTTGAAAATACCTTCCACATTTTCTTTCCTGATAAAACAGCATTTGTTCCAGTCCAGTTGTAGGGATCTATAACAAGCATAATAATACTCTGTTTAAACATTATATTATTTTAAAACATAGCTGTAACCTTATGATAGAGTGGAACTACAAAAGTAAGTTGTCTTCTACAATTTTAATACAGGATGACTTGATGGATACGTGTTCAACCAAGAGTTTTCAGCACAACTGCTAAAGAGCTGATATTATTGCTACTATTTTTTGGAAACGAAAAAAACTTACAATGTAGCTTCAAACATTAGGCTGCAGCTTATTAAAACTTATTAGTAACAAAAGGTATTTTTGTTTAGTGACCTGTTGTCCCATTTTAGCCTCCTCCTCGTGGGCTTCACTGTCCTGTGTTAGAGAACAAGTGAGAGAATGGGGAGGGAAAAGGGAGTGACACTGGTGCCTGCCAAATATGGACAAGGTGATGACCTTCTGTGCATGTTGGCACACGCATACAAATCCAATTTGTGTATGGGAAAGTGGGGGAATTTTGAGAGACAAAGCCGTTTACCAGGACCCACAGTAGTTTGTTAGTTTGTCCAAAGGAAAATGGCGTTAGAAAAACTTATCCAAGATATTCGTTCATCTGAGCCCTCCCGAACAGGCAAATAATGTATTTATATTTTCCGACTCACAAAAGTTTCAGGAAAATGTTTAACTTTAATAAGCCTCCAACCTACACACATGTGAGAACTAAAACCATCCTTTACAGCAGTGAGCTTTCTTCAGACTTATGTCTCTTGGTAGTCTAATCATTATCTTTTTTGTGTCAAACAAGGATATTTAAGAACCAGCAAACTTGAGAAAACCACATAAAAACATTCGTAATAATGATTTTCTCAGTCAGCAAAATGATTAGTTCAGTCGAGTGGGATCAAGTTTGTACAGCAGGCTGTTTAAAGAGTCAATTTGTTTAATGATATGAATCTTTTAATATTGCCCTGTCGAATTGATTCTAATAATAGAAGGTGATGTCGGTAAGCTAAGCAAGGCAAATTCGGCATTTTGAGTGAAGTGCGAAACGAGTGCGAAAAGCGAGAAAAATGCCGCATTTGCCTCACTTGGCTCAAAAAGTGCCTGTTATACAGGCTAAGAAATGAAAAACGATGATAACTGACAGCTGCAGGGTAAGTCGTGTTGTTTTAATATTCAAACTTGTAAGTTAAATGAATCCATTGACAACAAACTTTTGAAAAGTAGAAATCTAATGAAGCAAAAGTCCGAATGTAAATGACAGAATCTAGACTTAGACAACAGCAAACATGGAAAACAAACATTTTGAATAAACGCAGTGCATAAAAGCAAGATTGCAGTACTTACAGTGTGCTCGCTTGTATCCATGTCGGAAAGTTCGAATGACAAAAAAAATTTCTTAGGGGACTGGACTTATAACAATTAGTCTGATGAAAACCCCCAGGGGACCCCGAGTCCTGTCACTGGTCCACAATGGTGAAGGACGCTGTCCACACTCTTCGATTTTTGGCAGGGAACTTCCTCCCCATTTGTTTCTCCCTTTCTTGTTCTCAGATTCCTCACGGTCAGTGTAACCATTGCAATAGGAGTTGCCTGCGGAGGAGGCTAGTCCCACATAACCAGTGAAATTTAAAAAAACAGTCTTAAGGGAAATTTTGACTATAATACCCTCATGTTTGTGTGTCTCTGGCACAGAATCAAGAACATAATACAAAAGCAAATGAAAAAAAAAAACACAATGCAAGAAATGACACTGCACACTACCTATGTGAAGAGATGATCGTGAATGGGCAGTGCCCCAGAGGAGCATAGCATTCCATGGACGAAGCTCCTTTGGCAACAACTGGAAGAAGTCTTCCTTCAAATAAACCTGGCATAATGAAATAAAAGAATATTCAACCTTTCAATGTTAAAGGAGGCCAAAGTCAAAACTAAAACTAAACAAAATTACTAATTAAATTTCATTTTGTAAAATGGCATAAAAACAAAGTTTATTAGTACCATGTGAAAGTACTCTCTATGCCAAAGAGGTTTCATTTGAAACGTCACACCATAATATTTTTTTCACAGACTCAAACGTTAGAGCTACCTTACAGATCTCTCTCATTCTCTGTGGCAGTGAAAAAATGGGTAAAAATGCATGAGTTACATCCCAGTAGGGGGGGGCACACTAATGACAGTCATATTTGCTATATGGTAAAAAAACTCTGTAATTCTCCCCAGTAGTCATGTAGAATTAGACAGGCAGTTTTCCCATAACTGTATTTGGCATAATTTGGGATTGAGTTCGATCACGGTGAAGAAGAAGCATGTATGGTAAACCCTGTATCAGTATTAGTAGAACAATATAACTGAACTACAGTCAACCTCCATGTCCAACAACTTCTCATGAAATGATCAGCAATTCAAAGTACTAAAAAATAATTTTAACAACCAGAGTACTACAGTTGGAGCCTCCTTAAAAGGAACACCTCCACATTCTTTGAAGCCATTGACCAATTTTGGGGTTGAGAGTTTTAAATACCTTCCACACCTTTTTACCAGTACCCTAATCTACTCATCTAATTGACTCATGATAAAAACAAATAATTATTATCTTCATATGTTTTCACCCCTGAGCCTCGCAAAAGCTTTCAATGGGCAGGCAAAATTATTTATTTTGTCCTGATAAGTAACCCAGTCGGTTAGTTCTGGTATCAATGAGGTGTTGGGCTGGACGACTTGTGGTCTTAAAAATGAGGTGATCATTCATTGTTAGGTTAGGTTGTACTGCAGTAGAATATAGATCTTGGTTGTACTTGTAAAAAACAGACACTTAAGGTAGTCCCTTTGCACTGATTAATTTACACACTACTCAGTTACGCATATCAAGTTCTGTCTAGTTTGTTTTACTCACAGGTTGGCCTAAATGTTTCTTTAATTCTGGATTCATTTCAATGAATAGTTCATCTTCTAAATAGGTCCACAAATGAGGTTTGCCCTCATGTACATGTTGCGCAAACATCTTCAGTGGAACTGCAAATCCTTTAGCTGCATTCATAGGACCCTGGAAGAGAAATCACAAAGATGTAGAACATATAATTATTATAAAACATGCTGCAAGTTCCCAGGGAGGGAAGCCAGGGTTAGCACTAGACTATATAGAGATTAAAAGCCAATTATTTAAACCAAGGTTAGATAGCGTTTATGAAAGTCGTTGTCTAACCCATTTTTAAACAATGAATAACAATAATTATTAAACCTTGTTCTTCCTTAACCTTGTCTAGACCATGTCTAAATTGCGACTAATGGAACAATTAGTAAGTTAGATCTGCTAACAGGTGGGTTTAAACATTGTTTAACGGTTTTTTCATGGTCATCCATTTGAAATGGAAGAAATAAAGTGCGCTACAGACAAATTTATGAGACTATGCCAAATCTACGTAATATACATGTTCGGCGAATTTGGCATCTTATGGACAGATGTAACAATTTGGAGAAATACAATGTAAAAGAAGATTTTTGATTGCGTTTTCACTTTAGAAAGGACTTGGCCATTGACAAGGGCAGATTGGCCGCTTTCACCAAGGTAGCAAGTTCTTAATGCTTTGAGATTTATACAAGAAGAACCTTTGAGCAGGTTTAATATAATTGGCGATTTATTAGGTGTTTCTGTATTTGCTGCACGCAGTCATTCACAAGGTTTCAAGAGCTATCGTGAAAAGAAAAGGATATTTCCTGTCATTCCGTCAGAACTTGGCTGATTCAAAGAGATGGTAAATGATGTTGTGCACTTTTCAGGTGTGATTGGGGCCATAGAGTGTACCATAGAGTGTAAGGATAATATGTCCAAACGCTAAAGAAAACGCTATGGGTCATCCTCATGCAAATCTGACCTTTTGCATTTGCACCTGTCAATATAATGCCAACTGACAATCAATAACTGTAATATATATGATAAATTATCATGCAAAAGCAATTTGGGGGGCGTTCAAAAATTACTGATACTTCTGGCCTATGCGTGATTTTCTGTGTCAGGCTCTAATTGCTTTTTGAGTAATTCCATTTCGTGACATAGCATATTGGCAGCATGGACTCCGAAGGGTCTCTGCTACGTATTAATTGAACATAAGAGGACCCTTTTACACACTACCAGATCAAGAAAGACCCTCCACCTACACTTGCACCTATCCCATACTGGTCAGTGATGACTGTTGGGCCTCATCTACATTTCCTTCCAAGACGAAGTTCCACAAACCCTTGCTCCTTTTCAATTGCCTGGAACAAAATACTTCAGCTTTTACTTAACAAAGTTCTCTAATCATTGATCTTCCAAGTTAAGTTCTTCCCTTAATTATTTATTTGTTCTGTGCTCTGTCACAAATCTTTGAATGTTTCCTAGGACATGTTTCCAGAGGGACAGTAAAGTAATTTTGAGGTGTGCATGTATTACTCAATTGGTCAAATTTCTGCCGAGAGTATTGTTACTGTACAATGTACCGTGCAAGGCACACTTAACAGTTATAAGAGTGGTACATGTCACTTGTATATGTGTCAGTTAAGAAAATTAATAGTCACACCTAGTATTCCCCAATCCAGAACTATAAGGGGAATAGGTACATTGTACAAGCTTTTGGCATATTGATTTCTGGGATTGACTGGATCAGGAGAAACATTTACAGTGATTGGTTAATGGTTCCCTTGAATACTACTGACCAATCATAACTGACACTTGTCCACCCAAACAGTCCCTGAAATCACTGCATGCAAAGCTCATTCCCATTCTTCCTAGAGTTTCTGAAGTGGGAAATTGATTATTACTTCTAATGATATATATACACACAAACCTCTGTAGCTTTCATTGTCACTCTCTTGTCTCCATAGTTTTTGACAAGGAAAGACTTTGTCCAGTTGATAGCTTTCCAGTGCATAACCACATCAGTTATTAGTACTGGCCTAAAAATGAGATTATAATTTAAATGATAATAAAATAGAGTTGTAAAATACATCTGCTAAAATTGTGATTTGGAAGAAGGAGAATTCTTATACCAGAAAGCTAAGAAAAAATTCTGAGCTCCAGGTGAGAATCCAACTCATGACCCACAACCCTCCGAGTTCTAGTTTGGATGCTCTAACCACTGAACTACTGGAGGCTCTAAGGCGAGCAGGGTTGAAATTTACACCAGTGAGTCATAGAGGACTGCACTGGGGACTTGCTCGAAATAGGCTGTCTACCAGTGTACAAGACGAAGCCTGTACAATATAAATGGAAGAAGGAGAATGCTTATACCAGAAAGCTCAGAAAAGAGAATCAAACTCACAACCCCCCGAGTTCTAGTTCGGAAGCTCTAATCATTATCTGCTACTGCAGGCTCTATCATGAGCAGGGTTCGGAGAGAAGGCAGCAAGCTATTTGAAGAGGGAAATACACACTTCTCACACAATTCTAACTCTAAAAGCCTAAAAAAAGACTGAATAATAACATGCATAGGGCAGGTTACTACTATTACTACTATGTATGGCTGCCTGCAATCTTCCATGTTTACATGTAGTTTGGTTACTGAGCAGCATTTCTGAGCATCAGACTAACACAAAAAATTAGCTTTCACTTAAGAGTCAAAGTAGCCTGCTAGCAAGTTCTTTAGGGCACTCTGGCAATGGGGCGAAATAAGAGGGAGGGCTTGCAGTCACATCTCAGTGTGAATAAGAGATCCAATAATCAATCAGCATTTTGCATAGACTATTTCAAATTTCTAAGACATGACTGCAAGTTCTCCTTCCTTTTCTCCCCACCGCCAGAGTGCACTGGATAGCTTGCTAGCAGGCCTGAGCCAAAGAGGACACAGTTGTGGTCAGCTTGTACAGTAAGACTGTTTAAAACAGGAAGGGAAGAGGGGGAATTCAGGCATAGTATTAAACATATGAAAGTTGCCTCCCCCCCCCCCCTTTGGCACATCCTTTATGTTCTCACATGCCTAGGTCCTATTACATGTATGAATTTCAAAACCGGTTGTTTATCATAGTGAGGAGGAAGCCATATCCTGGTCGGTATTTTAAAGATTTATTTGTGATTGTTGTAGTCATTATGTTTGTGTTATATCACTGATTCAAGGCCATGTCACTGATCAGAATTTTACCCTAGGGGTTCCTCTTCAACTACCTACCATGCAGGCTAAATTGGAGGTATAATATGCACAATGTCATTTTCAGATCCAAGATGATCAACAATGACATCACAAGGACAGATATTTTGTCTTTCTGGCTCTCAGCTTTGTTCCAAATGCCAAACCCCTCCTTACCTTATACATTTGATCAGTTACCAGTTTTACCAGTTACCAGTTTATTACCAAGCAGAGATCATGTTACAACAGGCTATTGCATTTAATATCTATCCATAGCCACCCCCCTCCCCCTTCCTAGATATACAGGGGAAGAGCAAAAAATATGAAATTCTTTAGGGGTGAAGCTTTGATTTACAAGAAATTCCCCAAGGGGAGAACCATATTCTTCGGCAGTAGACCCGTATTCCTCAGGGGGTAGACCCATATTTCACAGAAGTCTTCAGGGGTGAATGCAATGTTATTTAATCTTCAGGCCCCCGTTGTTCAAACATTGGATAGCGCTATCCACAGGACAAACATCTAACCAGTGGATAACGCAATTGGTTTCCCAAATACTTATCCACTGGATAGTGATTTATCGTGAATAGCGCTATCCAACGTTCGAAAAACCGGGGCCAGGAGTGAGAAGAAAAGGTAAGTCATCAACTGAGGGGGGCGGGGAGGGTTCGGACATTCAATGCAGTAGCCTAACGCATATCACCTCCCCGACCTCCCACAACTCTTCGCTCCTCACTCCTCCCTCACTGACAAAAACCTACCCCCTCTTAAGTACAGTAAACCTCTGGTGAAAGCTGTATTAGGAGGAAATACCTTTTGGCATCATAGCATTGGACAAATTCCTCTAAACTTAAATTTGACCGGCGATCAATAGACCACTCGTCTCCAACGTGACAGGGAAACTGAAGCTTAACATTTTCTTCACTGTCGTGAAAAGCATTCTTTGAACTCAAAGTCTGACAGGACAGCAAGCTGTCTTTGGAGCAAAACAACGCCATACTACCCAATAATGCAAGAATGG